GGGAGGCGCCGTTATCGGCCCTCTTCCCACCTTGCCCCCCAGCGCCGCGTGGAGCAAGTTGGGGATGCGCCAGCAAGATCGCTTGAACAACGGCGAGGATTCGGGAACTTTGAAAGCCGCATACTATACATGTAACATTTGCTTTGGCCCCGTAAACAAAAATGACCGACCTCCACAACGCAAATGCGATTGCATTCGCGATGGGAGGGAAACTGGAACGACGTTTCAGTCATTGTTTCAGCCTCCTTGCATCGGTCCCGAGGACGCGATCTGGATCCCATACAACTTCCAGTGCGGCTGGAAGAAGTGGACCTTCCAACGCCGCGAAGGCAATTTGGAAATGCCATAATTCCACTTGCGCCGATTTGTGCCATGCCCGACTTGAGAAAACAAGACGTTGCGTTCGCGCCTTTGTGGCCTGGCCAGAGAGGTGCTTTAGCGCTTCCAGAACTCAAGACGGGCTTGGCCAGAGTCGGCGCAAGGGTAGAGCTGGCGCTTCCATAGGGCAGATCATGTACTACAAGCCCGCATACGTCGAGCTCGAGTGGATAGCGGTGCGTCTTCTTCATCCGATTCAGGCGGCAATCACCCCGGTCAACTTTCACCAGCCGTCGCACGCTCTCGCCGTGCACGTGACAGTTGAACACTCGCCCGAGTTGTCGCAGCTCCTCGGCACATACGTCGCCGCATATTCGACTACGATGAAGACCATCAAAGCGTACGTGCTGGACCAGCTCGCCTTACCAAATCATCACACCGTGGTGTTGAAGGTGGGCCAGCAGCAAGTGAGCGGCCGGCAGCAGGTGGCCCCCTGCTTTGGCCTCAGCCGGAAGCGCCCGCGCTGAGTCCCGAGGGCACGCCCGCTCGACCCCATATAGATTGGTTTATCATTTTGCCCGCCGACCAGATACCGGGCTGCCTTCCAGGCTAGATTTGCTTCCGACATTTTCTATTTCGCATCCCTAGTGCTATCTCCAAGTGTTCCACGGCAAAAAATGTTATCTCATCCGTTTCAAAAACACTTACGCATTTACATTCCAATGTAAACATATACACAACGTGCGCCCCCCGCGTACCCACTCGCAACAAAGCTTGGGAAACATGTCAGACATCAGCTGGCAGGGTGGCGTGGCGGGCCGCGGGCAATTCGCCCAAGCAGCGCCCACACAAGCCAGAATAAGTCACCTCCCGCCCGCCCGCCCGCGATGGCGCTCGCTCTTGGCAGCGCCGAGGTGGCGGCCCTCTTCAATGCCGGCCTCGTCACGCGCCAGACTCTCTTGTCCGCTGCGTGGAGGTTGGGGGAGATGGGGATGCTCGCCGAGGAAGATGACCTCAATTGGATGACCTCCGGCGTCGATGCGGGCTCCGCGGCGACGGTTGCAGCGCCGGCCAAGGCGCCGCCGCCGGCCGCGCCGGCCAAGGCGTCGCCGCCGGCCGCGCCCCCGAGTCCGCCACCGGCCAAGGCAGCGCCGCGGCGGCCAGGGGACCCATGGATGGATCGAGGCGCTGCTGTGGAGGAACACCACCATCATCACCATCACCACAGCCACCCGACCACCGTCATCTCATCTGATGTCGAGTCGGTGCGGGGCTCCCGCTGGGCGCACTACGCGTGCCTCGACCACGCGCGCGTGCTCCCGGGCCTGATGTTCCGTCGCCACTGCTCAGAGTAGGGCCGATTGCGCCTGGGATCTCAAATGCCTTCGTCGGAGGTCTGCAGGCTGTTCGCACAGGCACTCACGGCAGTCGGCAGTGTTGATTTCTATCCCCCGGTAGTGGATGGCTGGGAAAAACGTACTTACCTGGGACAAACACTTTTACCAAGTTTTCTGCGATAACAACCCGGGACGGCGCGAGCCAGTGGCACCGCCAGAGCGGACGAGTCAGTGCGACGGGTGGCCACCGTGGGAGGCGCTTTGAGCAATCTGTTTTGAATTCGATTGCTGATTAGTAGCGATGCTACTTTTTTACTGTTGTTACTAACATGCTTTGGCCCGCCTCCCACCGCCTGGCCCCGCGCCGCCGCTTTACGCTTGTCAATATCTATCCGGGGACGTTTTCGGAGGGAACGCTCAGAGTTTATTTGTTCGCTTTGTCTTATCTTAGGAAACGACGCCGCGCTTGCTCGTCTGATATGTTGCATCAGTATATGCATTAGCTCCTTCCCGATATCTCTCTCGCCTTCTCTCTCTCTCTCTCTGTCTCTCTACCTTGCATGTGCTCATTGTTTCTTCATATCGTCCTCCCTCTCTCTCACTCTGCTAACTGAGATGCCATGAGAAGATCGCTCATCTTGCTTTCTGTGCATCTTGGAACGGGCTAATGTTCACGAAGGGGCGTTGGCTTCTGACCGCGATCGATCAGGGCAACGTCGCGGTCGATTGCTTCGAGCAGCGGCCCCCTTAGAAAAAAAACAGACAAGGAGCTCTTGCCCACTGCAGTTTTCGGAGGGCCATCAACCTGGCAGTGGGCAAGGCGTTTCTAGCCTGCGTGCGCCTCAACTTTGAACGTTCTCCAGGGACCTGACCTGAACACCTGGCGCGGCGATGAGTTTGGCGGCACACAGAAAGAAAATGCCAACTCCAGAAATTAAATTTATAGAGGTTTCCAGCCGCAATACCCATGAACGCCAGGCTTTTTTGCCACCACCGCCTAACAGACTTTTTGATGAGTCAGGAAAACCTTGGGGTAGTGGGCAAGAGCCTGCGATAGCCCATATTTTCAATGAAAATAAGCGATAGCTTTCTGCGTGCGATCGATCAGGGCGACGTTGCAGCCAATTCTTCTCTCGAGGTAGATATTCAGAGCGAAGCCCAGGAGCTTCTTGGCCCGCGATTTTTGGTCAGAGCGACGTTGCAGCCGATAGCATTGAGCAGATGTCAGAACGAAGGCCCGAGGAACGCATTTCCGATCTCGACTCGTCCGTCTCTCTATCTCTCTCTCTCTCTCTCTTTCTCTGTGCCAACCGAGCTCCCATGGGTGTCCGATCGCCCATCTCGATGTCGGCGTGTATTGGAGGAATTATCTACGAAAGTGCGATAGCTTTTGCTTGCGATTGATCGCGGCGGCGTTCCAGCCGATTGCTTTGAACAGCTGTCAGATCGAAGCCCAGGAGAGCCCATCCCCGATCTCGACTCTCTCTCTTTCTCTCTCACTCTTTCTCTTTGTCAACCCAGCTCCCAGGGAGCCGATCGCCCATCTTGAATTCTGCGTGTCTCGGAATGAAGTACATGTATATGAAAGAGCGATAGCTTCTGCCTGCGATTGATAGGAGCGACGTTGCAGCCGATTGCTCGAGCAGCTTTCAAAGCGAAGCCCAGGAGAGCTCATCTCCAATCTCGACTCGAGGGTCCTGCGCACTCCTTCATATTTCCGACTCGAGGGCACGGCGCCCTCTTACAAACTGATTCGTTGCTGTTACTCAGCATCCCAATGGCGTCGTCGTTGCAGCTGGATCTCAGCAGCGAGGAGGTTTTGGCGCTCGTCGAGGCGGGCGTCATTTCAGGCCAAACAATCCACGACGCCTATCGTGCAGAAGCAGCATCGGCCGAATGGCCTCGCAGCGACTTGCCTGAGATTGACGTCTTGGAGTCTTTGGCGGCGAAGGGCGTCCTGACGAACGAGGGCGTCCTTGACTGGATGCAGTCGGGCGTGGTGACGGCGCAGACAGGACCCGCTGGCGGGCGTTCGTCGAAGCCTCGCCGCCGCCCGACTGATCCGAAGGACAAGGCGCCTTGGTACATGCGCGGCTTGAATGCCCCCATCTTCGTGAAGACAGACCTCCAGCCGGAGCTGGCGTTGCTTTCGCGCCAGGGCAACTGCGTCGCGCACGGCGTCGGCCACGTGATCGGCAAGGCGCTGGATGCCGTAGCATATGCGAAGATCTTCCCTGCCGCCGCTTCGCGTGGCCGCAAATACGTGGACGTCGCCGCTGCGCTGGGCGTTGGTTTGCAGGAGGCGCCTGGGCGGGCTTGCGTCGTCGGCGCGTCGGAGAGCGGGCAGGCGCGCTCGATCGGTTCGCGGGGGACTGCCAGTCGCGGCCCCCCGTCGGGCCGCGCAAAATGATTCCCTCGAATCTGTCGGGCGCGCGGCCCGCTTCGCCGTTGCCGCCGCTGACGCCGAGCTCTCGCAAGGTGAGCGACCTTTCTCTCCCTGGCGCCTACCTATGTCATCAGTCTGGCAAGAGAGTGGGGCATTGCACGGGAGTTCGCGTACATGATCGCTACGTTACCATTTGGGAGAATAAGTACAAGTTTGAAACCACGTCCAAGGTATCGGCGCCGCCAAACATGTTGATTTTCAAAGTCATCATCGCTGACAAGGGAGCGCATGGCCATTGCCTGGGCCGTCGTCTGCGCGGTCTCAGGGCCGGCACGTCTCGCGGGGGGTGCGGGCGCACTCAGGTCGTGCTTATTTTTGCGATCATTCCCTTGGACATTTCGAGGGCTTCGACGGTCTCATGCCGCCGACCGTGCTAGCTGCCGCTGGCAATGCCATGCTGACCTTGGAAGGGTTGTTCAGGTCCTTCAAGGCGCCTGTCGCGCGCAAGGACGCGGACGTACTGAATGCGATCAATTCGTCCATCAAGGAGGCCTTGGCGCAGAACAACAACGACTTGCCGAGTGCAATGTTGACTTTCCATGACAACTGCATGTTCAACAAAGGCAATAACTTGTTGAAAGCAGGGAGCGCCGCGCCTGGCAGGCAGAGCGAACCGGGCGGCGACGGCGAGGATGCAGAGGGCGCCCTTGCAGCCCCTGCACCGGACACGAGCAATTCGGCTGACAGCTGGTTCGTGCTAACGGCTCAGACCATATCCAATGTGTCAACTAAGCTTCAGTATGAGTTGTTGGGAAACAAGTTGGTTCCTTATTTCATTGAGTGGTGTTCAACTGACATGCAGCGGGTTCCAGGATGCGCGTACGCTGACTGCTGCGTGTTGTACGATCGCAGCGCTTTCGAGAACGTTTGCTTGTTGTCGTCTCGTTCACCAGAGAACAACATATATCTCGGCATCCCGACACCTCTGCTGGACCCGGTGCTTGACGCAGCCATGGAGCGCGTTCAGCGCGTGTATGAGCAAACTTTTTGGTCTATACCCGAATCGTTCGTCTTCGGCCAGGCGGCCAGGCAGCGCAGGCATTGGCCAAGCGCGGTCAAAACATCGATCAAATAACTGTGTATTGGGGGCCGGGCAGCGTCGGCCTATCCCTCTACACTTCGCACTTGCACGCGATGTACGGCGATGAGAACCACAAGTTCTTTGATCCGAATATATTTTTCCAGGGCGAGGAGATGCGGAAGGTGGTGGAACTCTTGGTCGGCGGCTGCATCTTCACCGGCCAGGAGCGGCCCTCGGGGCAGAGGAGTAGCATGCGCCAGGACTTACTCAAGAAGTTCGCCACGGCCGACACCATCGCGGGGAGACTGCCGTACTCCATCTTGACGAAGATGTACAGGATCATCGGGTGGAAGCGCATGGAGGTAAACCAGTTCTTCACTTTCGACAACGTCAACGAGCACAACCTGGAGTCTATTGTGCGCCGCATCGCCATCATCAAGATACAGTCGCGGTTCTTTGACAAGCTCTACGTTGATAAGATTATTCTCACCGACCCGAGCAAGTGGGTCAAGGGTCAAGCTCAAGCTGTGACGTCAGGGTCAAGACGTCAGGGTTCGACGTCGAACAGGGCCCACGTCAGGGCGCACACACAGGCTTGCCTCAAGCCCCCCTCTCGCGCGGTGCGTGTTTGACGTATCGCGGGGGCTGTGTTCACATTGAATCCTCGCTCTCGTTCTTGATATCAAGATATCGTGGGGATCGCAGGAAGATCAGGATTTGTCTGGATTTTACAAAAGACCACTGTGGGCGGTTGGATTGAAAACGGACTCGCAGGGAGCATATATTATACCGTCAGAAGACGATCAGAGTGAATATTTCACGTCAGCTGACTTTGGTGTGGATAGTGACCCACATCCGTGTGATTGGTTGAAAGACACATCAGCTACTGTGCCGCGATTAACGACGCAGGAGAAGAGAGAAGATCAGATAGCACTTGAGTTGGAAATTTCTCCACCAGAGGCATTTGTTCAGCAGGAGGCGTACGATTTCAAGAAGATTGGGCAATCAGATAGATATCAGGCTGCACTTCACACATTGCGTACAGTCAAAGAGAGGAATAAACGACGTTCGTCAGCAATCATGGCGGATGACAAAGCAGAAGATAGCAAAATGGGAGGGAATGCGAGTAGTGAATGGTTGAGAGAGGTGAGGGCGAAAGGGGAGGGCAAAGGTTCCAGTGCTTCGAGTGGTCTGGCCGCGGCTTCCAGTGCTGCTGTCCAGGCGCCTCATTTAGCTACAGCCCAAGTCCCCAATGCTACGAGTGGTCTGGCCGTGGCCCAAAGTGCTGCTGTCCAGGCGCCTCAACCAGCTACAATGACGCCCGAGGAAATGTTCAGACAGATTTTGAAGGGCCAGAGTGAAGTAACTGCGACGGTTAGTGAGTTCAAAACATCGGTTGCAGCTGATTTACATGTCATGGAGGAAAGATTGATAGAACAACGTCAGATGTCAAAACGTTATCGGAGCAAATGAAGCAGGCCCAAGCTGACATTCAGAATCTGAAAAATGGAGACGCTCAATCTTGCGCAAGCGGTTCGACTAGATACGGATCAGGTGACGCGGGCAGTGGTGCAGGGCATAATTCGAACTGGGTACCATCATATATTGAGTTCAAAGGATGGATATCACGTGAGGGTTGGAAGAATAGAGAGATAAAACAAAGGGAGGCCATGAAACAACAGGTGCTGACCGACAACATAACGAAATTATTGGGATTGGCATCGCTGGACGCAACGCATAATGCTGCTTTTGATCATGCGAGAACTGCGGGGGAGAATACTGGCAGGTACTGGCCATACACACGAGGGCGGATCTATTTCAAAAAGGGGACGGCAGTGGAGATCATATGGCAGGTTCGGAATTGCTTCGACAGTGAATACAAGAGGGGAAACACTGACCTTCCACCGAATGTAAAGTTTCATGTAGAATGCGCGCCATGGAGAACACCCCATGTCCAACATATTGGTAAGTTCCAGAGTTGCTTTGCGGAAGTGAAGAAAACGACGGGGACAATGTGCAAGGGGGAGCCAGGGCCGCCAAAATCATACATATGGTTTACACAAAACCCACAGGCAGATCCAGACACAAGAGTACTGATTGCTGAGTGGGGTGTACACAGCGGGTGGGCACTACACACTAATAATCTGAGGAGGGTGGAGCCTGAGGTGGATCAAGAGGGGTTGCTCACGAAGCTCAGACAGACGAACAATTGACGGTGCCAGTCTGCCACTCAGCTCGCGGTGGCAACTTGGAATGTCAACATGAGGAATAGCGAGCTTTTGCCAGCAATGCTGGAGTTTTGTCATTATGATGTGCTATGCTTGCAGGAGTGTCAGTACATGTCATCGGAAGCATTTGAAGCATGTGGGTGGCAGGTGCGTTTTAGTGTGTGCCGACGAGCTGCTGTGGCCTTCAGGGGCCCATGGGCGGCGACTATTTCGGACAGTAAGTGCGGTGAGAGGTTTGCTGTTGTACAATTTGCATCTGTGGTCGTGTCCTCAGTGTACCTACCCACAGTGCAGCGGGGAGATGATAGGCTCGAGGAATATTGTGACGTTCTAGCTAAGCTGTGTGCATGCATGCAACTATGTAGCGAGCAATACCAGGGGTCCAAAGTATTGCAGTTTGTGGGGACAGATGCGCAGACGGAGCTGGAACCTATGTAGCGAGCAATACTCCAAAGTATTGCAGTTTGTGGGGACAGATGCGCAGACGGAGCTGGAACCAAATCTCTTGGGGTTCACGGGAGAAGGATTGGAGGAGGTGTGGATGAGGTCGGAGGCGAAACATCATGAGGAGAGGAGGGACATGCTCGTGCGCTTTCTGAATCACTGGGGTCTTTGTGCAGCCAACACCTACGGCGTGCGACAAGTGACGCACAGGCCGTGGAGTACCAGCAGCTACTCCAGGGTGTTGGACTACGTATTTGTGCCGACACAATTTGCAGGTACCGAGGTGGCTCGGACCAACTGCTCATTTGAATGCACGGTGGAATTTGTGGATCCTACACAGGATCGAGCGTCACGCTACAGTGACCATGCGAAGGTAGGTGTGAGGATAAAACATGCGTCGGTGCGCAAGCCTTTCGTGCGACCCAGGCCCCCGAGCCTCATCAATTGGGCCCCGGAGGATTATGAGTCAGCGAATGTGTCAGTACACTGGCCGATGTGCAGGTACAACAACATATGAACCAACAGGGTGACATAAATATACAAACAGTTGGACAGATGCTTGTGAGTGCTGCGACGATGTGTAGGCATACAAAGGGCAGGGCGGATACTAAACCAATCAAAAAACCTGACCAACTCGCGGACGTTGAAGCGGAGTTAAGGAGGGGTGTCCTCGGTGAGCGTAGGAAACAATTACTGAGACGTCAAAAAACACCCCGAAGAAAGTTCAGGCGGGAAGAGCTCCTCAAGGACTCTACTGGCCTCAAACATGGACCCCGTAGGTGTATCAAGGAAATGCTGTGTGACGGGATACTGACAGAAAATGCACAAAGATGGGTGGAGGAGCTCAACAAACACGTACAACGGTCATATACATGTGACGGGGAGGGAGGAGCTGCAAAGAGAGAGTTGCATCGACTACGGACACAGTGGCAGGCAGAGGGCAGAACTACGAACAGGGTCATATCTATGGGTGTGTTGCTGGGGGCTCGAGCCCGATTGAAGGGCGGCACCGCAGCGGGCTCTGATGGCCTGGTGGCGGAGATTCTCAAAGCAATACCTTGGAATGCATTGAGATTGATGCGACACTCATTTCAAGAAATACATGATCAGAAAAAGTCGTCACCTGATTCGTGGAGAAAGTTGTGCGTGCAGTTGATTCCAAAAATGAGCATGATCCAAACATTTGGGGAGACTCGTGCAATATCGCTGTTGAGTGTTATGAGCAAGTGGTACATGGCGTGTCTTCTTATTCTTGTGGAGGAACATGGACATATCAAGAAATTGGCGACATATGGATTCCAGAAGAGTCACAAAGTTCATCACATGACGGCCCCTTTGCTGCACATGACACGTCATGCCACTCTCTGGGGAAAAGGCGAGTCGGTACATATGGGAATAATGGATATAAAGAAAGCGTTTGATCATGTCACTGTCTCGATGGTGATCCGCGCGATGGAACATCTGAGATACCCAACAGATCTGATTATTGCAATTGTGGAGCCTATGATTGGAAACACAGCAGTTTTTGATTTCCAGGATGTGTGCAGCGAAGAGATCCTGTATAACAAGTCGGTGCGAACGGGAGGGAAAGAAGGCCCAGTACTCTTCAATATTGTGTTGGAGGCAATTTGGGCCTCTATTGCTGAATCATGGGAAGCATGTCATTATGGAGTACGATTGGAAGGCGAGGGGACACAACAGGCGCTGGTCAACCATTACATATGGGCTGACAATGTGGTGCTGCTGGCATCTTCGGCGAATCAGCTGAGGAATATGGTGAGTATGTTGACCGTGGCCCTCAGACGGGCTGGTATGGACTGGAAGATTGAGAGCCTGGAGTACCTTGTTTTTGGGCTGAGACAAAACCAGGGACCACAATCATTAGTTTGCGAACTGGGAGAGATATTTGTGCACGGGCTGGAGACCCCAGCCTACCCTATCAATTACGTGAGGCGGTGGTTTTGCCGAGAAAAAGCGAGTGCGACATACTGGGAGTTAAATTTGTGACGAACCCGAGGGATTTCCATGCAGTGCGGCACCGTATTGATGCAGGCAGGCGGTGTTTCTATGCTGATATTAAATTCTATCGATCACGCGCGGTGAGCATGAGGGAGAAATTCAGACGGTATCAGAGCAGAGTTCAACAGATCATATGCCATGGATGTGTGGGGTGGAGCTGTAATGAACATGTGCTGAACATATTGAGGAGCTTTGAAGGAAGATGTTTGAACACAATGCGAGGATTACATAGAAAAGAGACGGAAACGTGGGAGGAGTTCAGGGATCGCAGTACCAACAGATCCAGGGAGATGTTCAAGGAGGGGGGGTTCAAAACGTTGGTGGAGAAAGTTGTGAGGTACAACTTTGAATTCGCCGTGGAGGTATCCCAATATAAGTGCCACATGCCGTCCACTGTGTATAGCAAATCGTGGCAGCAGACGCTGCGCTCCATGTTGCACGTATCGGGGGAGTGGACGGTGCAGAGGGATGAAATGCTGGCGGCAGTAAGTCGGACGATGTCGAGAGAGGGAACGAGACGGCTCAGAGGCAGACCACGAATCGTGGCGAGCAGCTGGCATGCACCCTTTGAAAAATGGAGGTCGCTTCTGTGGCACGACACGTGCGTTGTACCGACGGATTGGGAGGAGTTTGTGGAACACATATCACAGATACCCAAAGTGGAGGATATGTTTGTGAGGAGGAGTAAGGAGAGGAGGATGGGAGGGTTTGCGAAGACACCGACAGATGACGAGTTGGCCCGACGTCTTGCAGTTATTAATGAACAGACTACGATATGGGACCCTGGGATGGAAGGTATCGCTGTTGAAATGTGCGGAGACAGTAAAACGGTTGTACAATGGTTGAGGGGAGTCTGGGCCTGTGACAACAGTGGGTATGCCAAACGGATCGCCAGGATACAAAATATCATGTATGACGTGAGTGAACAACACAACATACGATGCCCGACGTACGGTAGGGATTTCTGGAAACATATCTATAGGGAAGCCAATGCCTATGCTGATGAGCTGACACACCATGCGAGAGAAGGAAACTGTTACAGAATTTACAAGCACGACTATATCAAACAGAACAGGACAAACATCAAATACATCAGAGGATGCTGGGATGGTGGAGTGAGCAGTGAGGGTGCTGCAGGAGGTCACTGGATCGAGGTTGCTCCAGAGAATGGCCCGTGGACGCTCGTGAGCTCAGAAGCCTACATGTTTGATGTAGGAGCCACCGTGACGGAGGCAGAATTATCTGCTGCCGAGCGCCTGTGCACAGGTGTGGAGCACATTGTTAAAGAAATTTCCTCTGCAAAGCGGAGGAGGCGGGTTTAACTGGCTCTAGCCCTTAGGCTTGGGCGCACGCGCCCTGTGTAGCCTGACCAAACACCAAACACCCGAGCAGATACGGCATCTTCGCGCGCGATCCCGACGCCAAGGACTTCATGATTAGCGGGGCCGCAGTTGCGGCAGGCCATAAGATTCAGTACGCGTTCGAGGTGGAGAACGGGCCCGAGGCGCGCAGAGACATTTTGGTGAACTACACGAAGTGCGGCGGTGACCATGGAGTAACCGAGAAATACGTCAGGATCGCTTGTCATATCAAGGCGGCCAACGCTGCGGAATCAGCGGCGAGCGCTGTCGCCGAGGGCTTGGTTGACCCGCCGTCCCAGGACGGCCATTTGCCGAGTTCGCCGATAGTCCTTCTCAGCAACCATTTGGTGAAGGAGCTGCAGCGGAAAGGATTGAACTACTTGACTTACAGCGTGTTCCGAGCGTCTGCAACACCTCCCGGCGCTAGGCTGAAGGGTAACAAAGAAGAACAATGGGAGTCGTTGAAAGGCAGCGACTTGTGGATCGACGTCGGTTCCAAGGGCAAGGCGGAAGATCGTCTGATTCCGCGCGTCAAGACTCAGAGAGACGCTTCGATTCTTTGTTCACGGCGGCCGCCATGCTGCGATGCGATATACCCGGAGCATTGCGACGCATCGGCGCTGGAGGCGGCGCGGTGTACATCCAGATTGGCCAACGAGAAGACTTTGGCAGGCGCGTTTAACGCGCTCGCATCGGCGATTGCTCCTGCGCGGGGGCGGCCAGCGAAGGGCGTCCTCGAGAGGATCGAGAGTTTGGATGAGAGGGCACAGAAGATTTTGTCAATGACAGAGACGTCGCAGCGGCTGCTTGACCGGAGTAAGAGGTCGGCCGACCTCGAGGTTAAGAGAAGGAAGTTGGCCTCGAAGCAGCCGAGCGTTGAGAAGTCTCCAACCCGCCATACTGGAAGGAAAGAAACAGTCCCGCTTGACAGCTTCAAGAGCTACAGGCGCGCAGTGGAGTGGCCGTCTCGGCAGTACGTCAACGAGGAGCTCTCGGCGCAGGCCATGGACCAACGATTACAGCACGTGGTTTTTTCGAGCACTTTCGATTTGGATTTCGTGAACTGCGTTTTTTGTTTATTGGCGCAGATCATTGAAAAGTTGGGGATCATTGACGCTCAGCTGTTCGCGGACGAGATTGCTGCGCTACAGCGCGTTCGCGCAGATCGAGAGGGCGTCTGCAGGTTGGAGTCTGAAAGCCGTCCGCGCTTCCTCGCTCGTCTCGATGCGGTTTCCTTGGCCTGGTGCGGCTTGGGGAAATAGGTCCAGGGGCGTTTTAGTCCGCTGTGGGGAGGGGATGAGGCGGAGGGAGAGGGTCCATGGGGCAGGTGCTTTGGCGAGCGAAGAAGCTTGGGCGAGCTTTCCTCTGGCTCCTGACAGGGACGTCTTCAAAATGTTGCCGTTCAAGGGCAAGCAAGTCTTGATCAAGCTGATATGCGGCGGCGCTTTGCCGAAGGAATTGTCCGAGAACGAGTTCGCCAAGATGCTGGTGAGAACAGCGCGTTTCCTGCGTTGGCTAGCCGTGGGGCTGTGCCCGGAGCAGTTCAAGCTCCTAGAGTCCGCGCAGGACAAGTGGTCAGAGGCATCGCTGGCCAGCTACATGTGGCAAGGCGTTGAGGATTATTGTTTGGAGCAGTGGGTCGACTTTGTCATGGAAGAGAAAGTCAGTCACGTATCTTTGCATTTCGACGGCCTGCGCGTTGACAAGGGGCGCGTCCTTTTGAGCCAGGCGGGCGGCGATGCGCAGGCCACGGCAGTTTCGGACGCAGAGAAGGTCAAATCCTTTTGCAAGACATCTGAGGAACGGATTCTTGCCACTACGGGTTATTCCGTAAGCATCAGGAACAAGGAGAGATATTATTTTATTGATCTTCTCCGTGTGAGCGCATTTGACGTTGAGCCTGCAGATGCGCCGAGCGACGTCGAGGCGCTGTTCTCTGCCGGCAATGGCATCTTCTGCGCAATGGCTGCGCTCGCGGGCAACTGGTCGGATATGTCGACGAAGGCCGCTGCCGCCGCAACGCCTCCCAGCGCAGCGGCGGCCTCGGCGGCCTCGTCGCCGCTGTTCTGGGCGCCGCCTCGGCGCTCGTATCGGACATGTGCGAGAGCGGCCAATGTGAAGCTGTTGCCCGTGGAAGTGCCACAGGAAAGTTGTCCTGGGCTATTCTTAGTGCACTGCGAGCCAGACGTTGCGCCGCTTTGCGTCGGCATCGACGTGAAACAGCGTGGGCCGCACAAGTGCTACGTCGGCAGGGAGCGCTGGAGTCTGCCGGCCGGGGCGCTGGACGAGGCGGTGTTGGCGGCTCTCGATCGGTGTATGGTAGTGGCATTTCAGATGAAGCCCGCCGATCGAGATGACGAAGATCATCGAGATAGTTCGTTGGATGGCGCATTGGATTTATTTGCGGGCGCCGGCATCGAGGACAATGTCGCCGCCGTCTGCCGCGCGCGCAGACGCCGCTCGCTCGCGGCGCGCGTCGCCGCAGGTAGCCCGAGCTCAGACCGCTCTCTGTCGCCGCCCTCGCCGGCCAGCCCAGCTGCGCAGCGGGGGGCGGCAGCTCTTCGCGAGCTCGGTTGTTCAATTCGCGGCATCGTGCCTTTTGACCGGCGACGTCTGACGTGGCACGGCAACTGCATCCCGTTCGGCATTGCGGCGCTCACTGGCGATTGGGATGGCGTCATCGCAGCTGCGACTGTGGATTCGGACGAGAACGCAGCAGCTATGGCGAGCGGCCTTCGTCGATATAGTGACTGCGCCAATCTCTTTGGCGTTTCATTGCGGCCAGTGCCGACGACGGCGGTGGAGACACTTGGCCGATTTCTTGTTCACGGAAAAGTTGCAGGCAGAGAACATTGCGCAGCTGTCGAAGTATTCGAGCACGGCGGCAGCATCTTACACTCAGAAGGGTTATCTTGGGACGTACCTCGAGGTTGTCTCGACGCTTGCTTGCGGATTATCCTCGACTTCGGCGTCGAGGCGGCGTTCGCTCTCGGCGGCGGGCATTCGTCGACCCTTGGCGATGACGTCGCTGCACGCGACGCCATGGACATGGTGGCCGGAGCCGGCGTCGAGGAGGAGGGGGCCGTTGACGTCGCGAACGCCGACGACGAGCACGCCGAGGAATTGGATGACGATTCATGCGTGCGCGTGCATGCGAATCTCTTGCAGCTTCTACGCGACGAGGTTACTGACTTCGAGATGATCGTGAAGTCGCTCTCTCGCACAGGCGCCACGAAGGACGGGAATGGGAGCGTTGCAAGGTGCTTGCTTTGCCCATTCAAAGAGTATTCTACTTCGTCTGTAAACGTTAAGAGGGATCTCCTTGCGCATATCGCGAATCACCACGGCTTGCACAGAAAATGCGAGAATGGTAGAGATCGTAAGATGGGATCAGGTCGGTACGTTGCTTCAGGCACTAAGCAGTGGAAAGTCATCCAGGCGTTGTTTGACGACGACATGTTATCAAAGCATCAACCGAAGAACTTGCTGCAGCGCAGTGCCGATCTCATGCGGCGGTCGGTGAGCCCGCCGTTGCGGTGTCTTGGTGTTGACAAGCAGATTCGGCTGCTCCTTGACCACGACGGGCCCCGGTTTGTCAACTTCGAGGTTCTCGCGAGAGATGGCGCGCTCCAAGCCAGGCTCGGGCTGGAAGAAAGAGCAGGATGCGGAAAGGGGGGGGGGGTGCGACATCTGTTTCGCGCAGCTGGTTTCGGCTCCGCCCGTTGAGCCCGTTCTTCGACGCGCGGGCGCCTCCCGGCGTTGCGGGGCGCCGGGGGCAGTAGCTGCGTGAGCTGATTGCGCGCCCTGCCCTTTGCCATCCTACTCTTTCGTCGGCTTCGACAGGCGCGTGGGAAACACGTACTACACGAAGGAGTTCGCCGAGCTCGTCTTCCGCGATTCCATCTTGCACGAAGGTCGAGTGCGCCCGATGAGGGCGAGGATTGTGACGCGCTTTAAGGAAGCCGGCAGTTGCGTCGCGCACCTTCTACCAGGAAAGGTCGTTCAGTGGTTGTCGTTGATGGAGGACGTATTCTCGTCTCCGTTCGTAGAGGAATTGCGAACCAATCTCATGGGCGAGTTGGTTGATAATACAGAGTTTGAGCACGTTTCGTTGGATGCAACTCTGCGCGCTGCCATGCGCGTGAAAGGCCAGGCGAACTACAGGGAACCGGCAGAGATTCGAGCGGCGGCGCCGTTTCCAGACGGCGTTGCCAAGAGGCGCATTTTGACTGCCAAAGGTCGCACGTCAGCCGCCATTGGCATGTGGCCCGTGGCCAGCGAAGCGGCATCCGTCGTGCAGGCGGCTCTTCGAAATCACTTGCCCGAGCGAGCTCTCCAGCAGTGCGTCTCAGTGGCATCAGGTGATCCGTCGGCGACATTGTTTGCAGAGCTCAAGCAAATCATGCCTCAGCTCAAGTTTTTGTGCCTAGATCCTGTTCATCTCGCAATTGTGTATAATCAGGCGCACTGGCGGAAACATTCTCCGGGCCAGGCAGTTTTGCGAATCATTTTGAATAAATTCAATAAAGTGAGCTCAGATTTAAATGGCGCCGCGTGGGGCGCCCCTTACACGGGCCACCAGGCTAGCTCGCTGTCTGCCGCCGAGGGCCGCGCGCAGTCGTTGATAGCCGGCGGCGGCATGCAGAAGCGCCGAGCGCACGAGATCATTGCAGATCTCGACGCCAATGAGCCATTCGTGAGAAAATTTGAGTTCATCGAGGCATTGGCGGCATTGACGTCCGTCTACTGGGAAGAAGTGGACAGGCGCACCCCCGCCGCGCCAAGCAAGAAGCTGGCTGATGTAATAGCGAATGCCGCGCAGCACAGTCGATGCGAGTATCTTTTTAATAATTTGCGCATGCGGCACTCGCTGCCGGCTCGCGCGCTGCCATTGCTCGGTTCGGGCGGGCGCGAGCCCAAACGAAGCGCTGCATAGCGAGATCAACAGGTGGTTTAAGAACCAGCCGGAGTTGTACGCGCAGACTTTAGAGCTCCAGCTCGGCGTCAACGTAATCGGCAAGCAAATGATGCATAATTCAGCTATGTGCGCCCCCACTCTGCGCCAGCTGTCTTCGCAAACTGTCGCAGCTAGCGTGGTCTGCTCGTTTGCGATATCCGCCGCCGAGTGGGCAAATCATTGCGCTTCTCAGGCGCAGGAGCAGAGGGCGCCGCGGAAAGCGCAGCTTCCGCTGGCGCTGCAGCGCAAAGCCGCTGAGCCCCTGGCGAACAAGTGGAAGGTGGATCACAAGCGCATGGTTGTTGCGCGCAAGCCAGCAGGGCAACAACACTTCATTCGCACCCTGAAGCGGCCGGGCGCAGCCATGCAGCGCAAGCGCACGCCCTTCTCTCTTGTTCGGAAGCGCAGCTAAGGCGGACGGCTTTTCCCTTGATGTATGCTAGTGGTTGCGTTTATGTTTGAAGCTCAACTACGTGCTGCCTTGTCGCTGCCTCGACGCGCGGCATTTGCGCTGCCATGCGAAAAAGAGTACTAAACATCGGGAGTTGCGAAGGCTTCGCCTCTATTACCGGAGCCCGATGAAAATAATTTGAACTATTTAATTTCCCAGAGCAAAGTTTTTAATCATTTAAGTCAGTACCGTTTCGACGAGAGACGAACCTCAGTTATTTTATTAATCAGTTTTAAATTCTTTATTTTTAAGTTTTTGATTTAATATTAAATAATTAAAACGTCTAATAAGTTAATCAATTCAATTACTAAAATCGTAGCGTTTCGCTTCTATTACAGGAGCCCCGATTTAAATAATTTAAATAATTTAAACCACCCGGGCAATAAATTATTTAATTTATTGAAATCAGCGTCCTTTCGTCGAGAGACGAACTTTAGTTATTTTATTAATTAAATGTTAAACTATTTAAATTGTTTAAATTATTCAAATATTTCATAATTTAAATAGTTTAAAACATTTAAGTAATTTAATTCATAAAATCGTAACGTTTCGCTTGTATTACAAGAGCCCCGATTTAAATAATTTAAATATTTCAAACCGCCCGGGCAATAAATTATTTAATATATTGAAATCAGCGTCCTTTTGAAGAAAGACGAATTTCAGTTATTCTATTAATTAAATTATTTGAATTATTTAAATTATTCAAATTATGTAGATATTTAATAATTTAAAAATATTTAAATATTTTAAATAATTTAATTAATAAAATCGTAACGTTTCGCTTCGATTACAGGAGCACCGATTTAAATAATTTAAATATTTTAAACCACCCGGGCAATAAAATATTTAATGTATTGAAATCAGCGTCCTTTCGAAGAAAGACGAGTTTCCAGGTAATTTATCACTTAAATTATTTAAATTATTTAAGTAATAAAATCGTAACGTTTCGCTTCGATTACAGGGGCCCCGATTTAAATAATTTAAATAATTTAAACCACCCGGGCAATAAAATATTTAATTTATTGAAATCAGCGTCTTTTCGAAGAAAGACGAATTTCAGCTAATTTATTAATTGAATTATTTAAATCATTTAAATTATTTAAATTTTTTAAATATTTAATAATTTAAAAAGTTTAAATAGTTTAAATAGTTTAATTAATAAATTCGTAACGTTTCGCTTCGATTACAGGAACCCCGATTTAAATACTTTAAATAATTTAAACCACCCGGGCAATAAACTATTTAATTTATTGAAATCAGCGTCTTTTCGAAGAAAGACGAGTTTCAGCATTTTTTTTTTTTTTTTTTTTTTTTTTTTTTTTTTTTTTTTTTTTGAAATTATTTAAATTATTTAAATTATTTGAATATTTAATAGTAATAGTTTAAAAAGTTTAAATAGTTTGAATAATTTAATTAATAAAATAATATGGAATCGTTTTTTTTTTTTTTTTTTTTTTTTTTTTTTTTTTTTTTTTTTTCAAAGGCCAAGTTTTTTTTGTTTTTTAAAAAAAAAAATATATATATATATAAAAAAAATGTTAGCAATAAGTTATTTATCTTTTCAAAATGACGATCATATGTGACTAGTTTGTCCCTCGATCATGTGGGGGGCGAAACTTGTCACATACGATCCTGCTCCTTCCCTCCCCCTCTCTCTCTGCATTATCCCGCCCCTCCCCCCTTCCTCGCCCTTTTCTTCCTTACATCTCTCATGATTCCCTTCCGTGCTCCTTTCTTGATCTCCTCATCTCCCTCTCCATCTCTCCTTCCTTCAACCTCCCACCTGTCTGCTCTTCCCCCTTCCTCTCTCCCTTCCTAGCTACCCTCTTCCGCCCATCTCTCATGCTTCCCTTCCCTACTCCTTCACGTTCCTCCTCATATCCCTTCCCATCTCTCCTTTCTCTTCCCTCCCACCTCTCTCCTCTCCCCTCTCCTTCTCTTTCCTTCTCGCTCCCTATTCCTTGCCTCCGCCTCCTTCCTCGCGTCTCCGCTCCTTCCCCCCCGTGCCGGCCTTGTCTCACGATTTTGAGTGGCACTGCGAGTGGCTCACTTGCTTGGGTCAGGGGGGCACTCGCCCGCAAGCATCTGAGTTATCGTTATCCCTCGTGTTCTCCCGAATCTCATCTCTTCTTTCCTCTCCTCTTACTGTCCCCTCGCCCACTCACCAACACTCTTTCTCTTTCACCTACTCCCTCCTCTCAGCCGCATCTCCCGCCGCACAGGGCCGGTCTCCTCCGCAGATCTGTCGCGTCGTTCTTTGCTGCAGCTGGCCGGCAGCCAGCAACTACTGGCCAGAGGACGCACAAGAGGTAATTGAGCTCCCCCTGCCTACGCCCCTCGCGGCTGCTACCTTGAACATTGCACAGCGGACCAAGCAGGGGGGAAAACTTCCGGGTGACCGGCGGGGCGGGCCGAAGCGCCAACAAAAAGCCACCCAATACCTTCCGTGCAACGTTTTTTTCTTCCTTCTGATAAAACACTTTGCATTTTAATTGCATCATGAGGATGATAAATTTGTGTGGGATGTCCATGGATCTTTGCAACTTCGGTTCCTGAGCGCCCCAAGACTTGCATCATTACCGTGCATCTTCATGATTCAATTTCAATGCAAATAATGCGCTCCTTCCAAATCGTTGCATGAAAAGTTTTGGTGGCTTTTTGCCGCCATGGACCGGGGCATCTACAAGCCGGCGAAGCGCTTGAGGCCTGAGCCTGCTGCGGGAGGCTGCGAGCCCGAGGGGAGCGGACGACTGCTGCGCCACAGGCGCCTGACGCCGACGCCCACGAGGACAGCGCCGAGCGGCATCCCATGCACGCCGCCTAGCGGCATCCATGTGCCGCCGCCGCACCGCCGCAGCCCACCGACGCCAGCGCCGACGCCAAACGCTGAAGCACTACGACGGGCGCTGCAACGCCAGAGCGCCGACCAGGGCACCGACCAGACCGCCGACAAGAGCGCCGACCAGACCGCCGACCAGAACACTGGCGCCAACACCAAGCCCGGCGCCTACGCCTTGAGCTCGCGCGGACCGAGGCCCCTCCTGGGCCGCCACCAACGCACCTGCGCACCGAACAGGGCGCCGACCAGAGCACCGACCAGGGCGCCGGCCAGAGCGCCGGCCAGAGTTACGACAAGGGCGCCGACCAGGCTGCCGACCAGAGCGAAGACCGGAGCGACGACGAGAGCGCCGACCAGAGCGCCGACCAGAGCGACGACAAGGGCGCCGACCAGAACGCCGACCACAGCGACGACCAGGGCGCCGACCAGAACACCGGCGCCAGCAACGCGCCCGGCGCCTACGCCTTGAGCTCGCGCGGACCGAGGCCGCCTCCAGGGCCGCCACCGGCGCGCCTGCGCACCGCACAAGGCGCCGACCAGAGCGACGACAAGAGCGCCGACCAGAGCGACGACCAGGGCGCCGACCAGAGCGACGACCAAGGCGCCGACCAGACCGCCGACCAGAGCGACGACCAGGACGCCGACCAGACGACCGCCCTGAGCTCGCGCGGCCCGAGGCCGCCTCCTGGGCCGCCGCCGGCACACCTGCGCGCCGAACAAGGCGCCGACCAGAGCATCTTCGAGGGCGCCGGCCAGAGCGACGACAAGAGCGCCGACCAGAGCGACAACCAGGGCGCCGACCAGAGCGACGACCAGGACGCCGACCAGACCGCCCTGAGCTCGCGCGGCTCGGGGCCGCCTGCAGAGCTTCTGCAGCAGGGAGACTTCTGAGCGGAGCCCTCCCCAAAAAATAGCCAGAACAGCCCGAGGACTCCCAAGATGGCCCTGAGACAGTGTGCAAGAAAGCAGGTGTTCTTTGAAATTTGGATGGCAAGCTGTCCCCCTCAGGCGCCTCTCCTGCCAAGAGGCTTCCCGGGGCGCCCCGAGGGAACGCTAGCCCTCCCTTGAACTCCTTTCGGAAAAGCCGCCTTCCCCGAGAAGCTTCAAGAGTTCCCAACAAACCCTGGGAGGTCCCGGCAGGTCCCGAGAGGTCCCGGGAAAACCGACGTGGCCCAGGAGGGCCCAGGATGGGGCAAACAACAAAACCCCTGACGGGGCATTTCCGCCGTGGCCCGACAGAGCGGGGAGGAGAAGAAGGAGAATTAGTTTTTTTGATTTCGTGGATGATAAAATTACGAGTGATGACGACGAGAATGAGGAAGACAAAGAGGACAACGAAGAGGAGGAGGAGGAGGAGGAGAGGGAATGGAATACGACGATCCGATCCTGCCCGCCGGTCGCCCCCGCGGGTTTGGTTAGGCGCGCGCGTGTGCCCAGCGCGGGGCTGTTGCAACCTCAACCCCTGCCGCCCGCCTGCTGCGGGCGGGATATAGGCCTCGCCTATGGGGAGGGGGACCGGAGGACATTGCGGCCCGCTGGGGGCTTCTGGGCCAGTGGCATCCCAATATCAGATCGGGCGACGAACTCTCCCCCACCCTGCTCCCTGGCTGGCCATCGAGAGAGAGGCGGGGCACGACCCCCCCTGGCCATGTTGAGAGGGGTGTAACATGCAAGCTGCGGGCCCCAAGCTCCTGAGCCAGGGGCCGCGCATATGTGTACCGACACCGTCGCCCCCAGAGGGGCAAGAGGTCATAATCTCTGATCACCAAGGCCTCGAAAATAGCGCCGCATTCACGCACCTGAGGTCAATATCCCCCATAACTCATATGGCTTGCTGAGCGTCAGCCACCCTTGAACGACGTTCCCTTGCTGCTTCAAGGCAGCGCCTAGACATCCCAATCCAGCTCTGATGTATCCCATTCTACTAGAGAGGAGCCGGCGGCAGCGAGCGAAGCCCATGCGGATTTACAAATGTGGTATCTCGGGGCTCTCTTGGGGCGCCTCTTGGGGCTCTCCTGGGCCGTCTTGGACTGCCGGAGCTCCGAAATGACAAGAACGGGACAATCAGTTTCGAACCCGTGGGAAGCCAATGGCCTTCAACTTGTGAGGTCCTCTCGGGGATCTCCCTGGAGCCCTCTCTTGTGGCGTCTTGGGCCACCCCAGGTATTCTTGAGGCCTCCCGGCGTATTGGAGTCTCCCTGGAGCCAGCTCAGAAGACATTTTGGACCTCTGTGTGTCAGGAGAGGAAAAAACACACAGACACAATTAATCGTCGATTCCCAGGAAAATATGGGAAAATATGGGAAGTGGGGGGGAAGACAAAAACCCAGAAAATATAAGAACTTATGGGAAATATTGTTATTTGTGTGTGTGTTTATTTGTGTGTCCTGGGGCCCCTTCAGTGTGGCCGTGGCTCCGAGGGCCCAAGAGGTGCGTCCACGGGCTCGTCGCCTCCTCCCCTTTTCCCCTGCGGCCCGCCTCCCGCCCCCCCCCTCTGCGTACGGTGGGGGGGCATTGGTCAAGGAATGTGCTCGGAAGGCCTCGGACCCTGGAGGAGCGGCGGGGAATGGCGGGGATATCCACGGCCCAGCCCAATTCGCGTCCGCTGGCTTCCAGACCCCGGGTGCCTAATCCAATGGTTCGTCATGCAATGCCCTTACCGTAATAGGATGTTGGACCCAAGGGAAGGGGAGGGGGAAATGGGGGAGCGGGACAACCGAATGTCTCACGCGCATTTTTACTTCTGGCGAGCGGGAGTCGGCGTATTACCCTGACGACGACTGCAAGGCTGACCCCAAGGAGGTCGAAAAGACGTACTCAAAGCCGGTTGAAAAGTTAGACTTGAAGGACGGCCTCGCCATGTTCAATGGGAACAATTGCCACAGCGTGGACACGTTTAAGGGGGAGAGGTTCTCCGTCGTGTACTTCACATTGGGCTGCCACGCCAAGATGTCGACAGAGGCCCGTGAGCAGCTCGAGAGCATGAATTTCAAGGCCCCGAGCGCAGACGCAGATCCCACGCTGTACTTGAAGCCGCCCGCTTCATTCGAGAGCAAGGCACAGTACAGGGCCGTGGCCACACCACTGCGCTCGACCGCACAGACGAAAAGCCAACCCTCGTTCCGGTACTGGACAAAGGGCGCCCTCAACGCCGAGTTGGGGGCCATGGAGACCGAGGGCTAGACGGCAGCGCGTGCCCTCAAGTGGCGGGGAGGAGGTGCTCGTGAGCAACCGCGTCGATGATGTGGCTGGCGAGGCTGCGAGCTTCAATTCGGCGCCACCACGGGGTGTTCGGGTCGCTGCTCTGTCTGCCCGGGGGCAGTCGCCAGAGCTGGGCGTGGCTGTGGGTGCATGCGGCGCCTCTCCGGCGGGACGGCCGGCGGAGCGGACGCCGCGTGCGAGCGCGCTCTTCCTCTCGGCGTGCGGGGGGCGGCCTGCAGTGACCGCCGCGGCCGAGCGCCACTCGGCCGCGGCTCGGGCGAGCCTCCTCCTCCTCCTCCTCCTCCTCCTCCTCCTCATCATCATCATTATCATCACCAGCATCGTCATCAGCAACATCATCGTCGTCATCGTCATCATCGTCATCATCGTCATCATCACCATCCTCATCATCATCCTCATCATCATCACCACCACCATCATCATCGTCACCATCATCATCGTCATCATCATCATCATCAGCATATTCATCATTATCATCATCATCAGCATCATCATTATCGTCATCATCGTCATCGTCATCATCATCGTCGTCATCATCATCACCACCACCATCATCATCACGGAGCTCGGCCGAGGCGGGAGGGTTGGACCGCAGCGAGGCAAAGTGCGCAGGTGGGGAGAGTAGAAGGGGAGGAGCAGGAGGAGGAGCAGGAGCAGGAGGAGGAGGAGGAGGAGGAGGAGGAGGAGGAGGAGGAGGAGGAGGAGGAGGAGGAGGAAGGGGTGGCGGATAACAAGGAGCATGGCAGAGGCGAGCGAATGTGCCCATGTCAGGCACAGCCCCCTCCACCCAAAGGGGGAGGCGCACGTTCTGAGCTCCAGAGCTCGGACCGCCAGTCCGCCACCCCTCGGGACGGTCGCCCGCTGGGTCCGGAGGGTGGTCGCCCTCTTCCGCCCCGATGCGCTTCTGGCGCACCGGCAGCCCGCTCCCCCGCCCGTGCTCTGCAGGAGGGCGAGCTTCCCAGCTGCCCAGGGTGGTCCACGGGCCCCACCATACAGGCAAGGTGGCACGAGGAGGGAGGCAGGAGGAGGGAGGGAGGAGGGAGGAGGGAGGGAGGAGAGATGGAGGAGTTTCTGCTGTTGTTCAGGACGAGGCTGATGAGGATGTGGATGAGGACGAGGATGACGTTGATGATGCTGATTATGATGATGATGCTGATGATGTTATCTTTTTTGTTTGTTTTTCACCATTGATGACGGTCTGTCGCTGATGACGATCCCCCATCCCGTTGTTCTCCGTTGATGATGATGATGATGATGATGATGATGATGATGATGCTGATGCTGATGCTGATGCTGATGCTGATGCTGATGCTGATGCTGATGCTGATGCTGATGATGATGATGAGTATGATGATGGTCATGGTACTGGTGATGGTGATGATGCTGATGCTGATGCTGATGATGGTGGTGGTGATGGTGATGGTGATGAAGATGGTGATGCTGATGCTGATGGTAATGGTGGCCGTTATGATGCTGCTGCTGCTGATAATGATGATAGTGGTGGTGATGGTGATGGTGACGGTAGTGGTGATGCTGATGTTGATGGTGATGATGATGAGGAGGAGGAGGAGGAGGTGGAGGGGGAGGAGGAGGAGGAGGAGGAGGAGGAGGAGGAGGAGGAGGAGGAGGAGGAGGTGGAGGAGGAGGAGGAGGAGGAGTCTCCTCTCTCACACCTCCCCGTACCGCCCTCCCCCTGCGCTCCCGCCGCTCGCCGCAGTGGCAGCGCCACCTGCGGCCGCGGGCGCCAGCTGGCGCCCGCAGACGGACCGCGAGCCTGCCGGAGGACCCGATGGGGGGAGCTCAGATCGGGGGTGGATAAAACGACGCGAAGATCGGGACAAAATCGGATCGGGATAACTCGAAATCTCTGAGAATCGGCGGGTTTGGAGGATGTATTGGGCGCCGCGGCCGCTCCAGAGCGTTCCTGAACGCTGAGAGCGCTCCGGAACGCTGTGGAGCGATTTATCCCGATCCTAGCCCTGTTTTAGTGGACAGGCCTCCTACCCTGACATCGATTCAGGAATTGGCCGTTGTCGGTCCGCGGGTTGGCTTCGCGGCCGACACGTTTGCGGGTCCAGGTCCGTGGGTTTCGGTCCCAGGCTGTTTTCACGAAAGGGAGGTTTGTCCACCACCGATCAGAGGGCAGCAGCGGGTACAGTCAACCCGCTTAGGAAGGAGAAGCGACTTTCCAAGGTTACCCTCGTATCCTTCTCCTTCGGCCCATCCTTCGCCGCTTTCGCTGGCTGCGCCCCGCCCGCAAAGGGTCGGCATGGCCTTCCAAGACCCTTACATCCGGATCGTGCGTCCTTATTATACGGATTGACTGTAGGCCTCCCAGGTGGGGTCTGACTAGATTGGGGTCAGAGGCTCGCGCTATGTCGTCGATGCATCGGCGATGTCAGCAGCAACGGTCCCAGTTTCAGTTGCAGTTGTGGTAGAAGTAGCATGCTAAGTGGCAGTAGCAATAGCAGTGGCAACATCACCAGAAGCAGTACAGCGGCAGGAGCAGTGTGAGTTAAATTGCGCCGAAAGTTTGTAGAATAGCAGGAGGAGGACGAGAGGACGCGAGACGAGGCCAAGAGGATGACAGGAAGGTGATGGTGCGCAGCCAGATACAGTCTGGAGTGTTGAGAGACGCCCACCAGAGGCCGCCCAGAGGACGATGGTGTCACACGCGGAAGACAGGGACAGGGGGCCGACAGCGTCGGCTTGCTAAACAGCCTCGCGTAACGCTTAAGCTCGCGGGATCCTAGGGCGTGCCGCATTCATATACAAGTGTTCCGACCTCCCGCTGGTGCTGTCCGTCGCGGGCGCCCGATTAATTGACCCACTGGCACAAACATCGCCCGCCAATGCTTCAAGCGTTGACCAGCCACGCCGACCAGGACCGCGTTGGCTGGCGCGGCTTCCAGGCCGCCTCCTGGGCTCCTCCCACCTCTTCTATCGCCATAAGGCAGGACCAAGATCTCCGAGGCGCCGCAAGGACGACCTCGCGTTCTGACAGGGACTCCATTCGGACAGGCGGCCACCTCCAGGCCCTAGCTCGGCATCGGGCCCGCCTGCAGACTTCTGCAGAGGCTTCTGGGAGGCTTTGGACACGCTCCCGGGCGGCTTTCGACAGGTTTCCGAAATTTCCAGCGGGCTGCTGAGGGCCTCTCTTCCAAGAGGCTTCCCGGGAGCGCCCCGAAGGGAACGCCTAGCCCTTCCCTTGAACTTCCTTTCGGAAAAGCCGCCGCCTTCGCCCGAGAAGCTTCAAGAGTTCCCAACACACTACCCTGGGAAGGTCCCGGCGAGGTCTCCGAGAGGTCCCGGGAAAGGACCGACGTGGCCCACCCCCAGGATGGGGCACTGGCCCGTCCGGAGGGCATCAGGACTGCCCCGCGAAGGGGGCCTGGATGAACTTCCGCGAGGTGACCCGGGCCGCCTCGCACGTTGGGCCCTGGCCGACGGGGGCTTGAGTCCGTACGGAGTAAGTCCATGCGGAGTGTGTCATGAGCTCCTTCCGTCTGGGATCGGCTTCTCCGGACGGGAGGCTGGGTCCATACGGAGCGAGTCCATCCGGAGAGTTCGGTTTCCGTATGGGCTGGATCCGTCTGGACTTCGCGTCCCCTGAGGGATCGGCGCGACCCGAATGTATACGGAAAGACATGGACCTGGACGAAGACCGACGGCAGACCCCGTCCCTTCTGGTCTGGACGGGACTCGCCGTCGGTGGCGTCGCGGATGCGGTCCACTTGAGGCGGTCAGTGGGCAACTTTTGCTGCTGGGCATCTTACCCTCTTTTCCGTATCCATTTCGGGCGTGCTGAGGGGATGGTAGGGAGGAGGAGGAGGAGGAGGAGGAGGAGGAGGAGGAGGAGGAGGAAGAAGATGAGGAGGAAGAGGAGGAGGAGGAGGAGGAGGAGGAGGAGAAGGAGGGTGGGCAGGTGGGGGGGAGGAGGAGTTCGTGGAGGAGGGTTTTCTGACGGCGCTCGCCTCCTTGGGGCCCCTGGATGCCTCACCTCATCACGGTTGGAGTCCCTTCGAGATCCTAGTACTTAGTCCAACCGCACCAAGGCGGGGATGGCCGAAGCACGCTCGCGTCGCGAGACATCACGACCTGCGAACATTTGTTAACATGTTTCTGGCATTCGGGTGCCCGTGCCTTGCCCCTGCCGTCTGAAACCCGGGCCAAGGAAGGGCTCGAGATCTCCAGGGGGCCCGCGCTGCATGACAAAGACGCACCGCCTGGGGGAGGAGGACCCAGGGGGGAGGAGGCGAAGCCGGATCCCATAACAGTCGCCGATGCCGCCCGAAGAGCGACCCGTGCTGGGCACGGCGGGTGCGCCGGGACGCCTCGTGGCAGTCGCCCCGAGCGCGGGGCAAGGCAGATGGACTTTCACCACTGGGATGACCGTGGGGGTTCCTAAGTGGATAGGGGGGTTACAAGTGGATGCCAAGGTGGATTATATCTGGCCCAACCTGGCTTATGAGTGGGTTACAAGTGGCGTAAGTAGCGTAGAGGGGGTTAGCGATCTGGGCTAGGTGGGCTCCGCCCACTTAGCCGAGTTATCGACCCCTCCTAAGCTACTTAGGGCACTTGTAACCCACTTCTAAGCCAGGTTGGGCCAGATATAACCCACCTTGGCATCCACTTGTAACCCCCCTATCCACTTAGGAACCCCCACGGTCATCCCAGCACCACCTGCAGAGGTCCCGCCAATCCTGCCCTCCAGGGCCCCGTCCCGCAAGCCAGGCAGAGCCCCCTGGGGCGCCACTGCGCCAGTCGTCCCTGGCGTCCCGGCGTCCCGGCCCTGTTAAGGGGTCCGGGAGCCGAGGCCTCCCGGGTCCCGGGGCTGAGGCACGGCCTCACAGCTTCTTGATGGTCGGGGGCTTTGGCTCAGCGTGTCGCTCCGCTGGTTCTGGCCCACCACGCTGCGGCGCGACACGCCACCCACGTCCTCCTTGCCGAGCGTCAACGTCTCGAGCCTGTCCGAGCCGCCCGCCCCGCGGAGCGGAGTGACACGCTATCCGCTCACACCGCACAGCGTTCTGCTGGGGCCGCCGCAGCGACGCGCTAAGCAAAAGTTCCCGACCGTAGCCCTCCCAGGACATGCATTCTTCAATGCTGGCTGGGCCGATGGAATCTCATCAGTTCGACCCTCCCTCCCGACACTTTTTGGCACCCCTGTCGGCCAGGAGTACCCGGCCCTGTCGGGTTCCGGGTCTGTGGCGGGGCCGTTGGACTCGCACCAGTCCACCCCGCCTGGGTCTCGAGGTTTCGGCGGGTCCTCCAGATTCTTTCCGTAGATGCAGGTTGGCGGTTCCCCCTACCGGGCCGCCCGGGCCTCTGTTCCACTTGCCAGAGGATCTGCACGGACGAAATGGATACGGAAAGAATGGGCACAATGTCCGACAGCAGTTCCTGTTCATTGTGCACAGGACTCGCTGTCCGCGCCGCCGCGGCCTGTGTCCGTTTGAGACAGGAGGCCGCCTGCCCAACAGCGGCCGCTGCTGGTTTGGGACAACACTTGTTGTTGGGTATTGTGCCCACTCTTTCCGTGCCCCTTTCGGGCGTCCGACGAGGAGTGGTAGCGCAAAGGCCGGCGGGCGGAAGCATGCTGATTTCTCGTCCCCCTCCCCCGCCTCCCTGGGGTGCGCGCCTGTGTGGGGGTGGCCGCTGGCCTGCGCCGAGGCTGCGGGAGGAGGCGCAATAGTTCATGCAATAGTTGGCGCCTGGATGCAATCGTTCGCGGCGTGGATGCAATAGTTCCGCGTGGGTATTGTTTTGTCTTGTTTCGCGCGCAAGAGTTCAGGCGGTTTGCGATAGCTCGTGACCCCCAGCAAGAGTTGGTGCAATAGCTGGCGCGCAATAGTTCAGGCAAACCAACTATTGCACCTACTGCCGTCCCCCCTGTTGTGTTCCCCCCATTACTCCAGCGTAAAAGCTCTTGCAGCGGCTGCGGCAGGCAGAGCAGCCGCGGCAGCCACGTGAGCTGCAGCGGCCACGAGAGCTGCAGCGGCCACGGGAGGCCTGCGGCCCGAGGCCCAAGCTCAGGAGGGGAAAAAAACACACAGACACAATGAATCGTCGATCCCCTGGAGAATATGGGAAACACATGGGAAGTGGGGGGGGAAGACAAAAACCCAGAAACTATTGGAAAAGATTGGGAGCCCCATTTTTATTTCTGTGTATTTCTTTGTGTGTCCCAGGGCCCCTTCACAAGCGTCTATGCAGGCCCGTTCTCCGAGCAGCGTCCAGCCTCGGCTTGTCTGCGCGCGCGGCGCAGCACAAAGGTCGTCGGCCTTCTACTGCCTCAGCAAGTCGTCGGCCCTGGAACTAGAGGCCTCCTAGGTGGGGTCCCAGTAGATGGGGTCGGAGGATCGCGCCGCATCGCCGATGCATCAACGATGCATCGACGATGCATCGACGATGCATCGGCGACGTCGGCGATGCGTCGGCGACGTCGTATTGGAGAGAATCTAGCTCCACATCGAGCCGCATCGCCGATGCATCGGCTGTGCGAAGCGATCCTCCGACCCCATCTACTCCGACCCCATCTGGGAGGCCTAGAGGAACGCGGAGTCGCCAGCGCCCCCCCCCCCCCCCCCCCCACCCAAAAAAACACGGATGTATCCCATTCTACTAGAGGGAGCCGAGCTCCGCCGAATTCCTTGCCCCCCCACCCCCCCACATGGCGCGCGTCGAGCCCCGAGGCCGCTTCCAGTGGCCAGCCCCGCGCATCGCTGTGCCTTCTGGCCTCCGCGAAGGCGCTGAAGGTGATGCATTGAAACTGCTGAGAGCCTCAGGAAACGCAGGAAAACTCAGCGTTTCACGAAGCGCAAGAGGGTGGAAGGTCAGCACGGAAGGTCTGGAAGAATGAGGGCGCGCGTCATCGCAGCCACCTCCGATGCCCAAGCCGAGGCAAGGCGTACCGATTCTCGCCACACTGCTCCTCTCGGGTTTTGAGGCTGTCGCATGTTTCGTGCTTTCTACTTCGCCTGTTTTCTGAGCCCTCCGGCCGCCTGAGGCCCCGCCCGCCCGCGCCCTGTCTCCCCAATTAGGGCTACCCGCGTCCCGTTTAGCTCTTGACCGGAAGGGGCCCGCTCCCGACCCGCAGACCAAAAAAAGTTTCGTGCGTTCTCCGAATTCCAGCAAGCCCAGGCCCCGAAGACTGGCAGAGCCGCACGACACCATGCGACTCTCACGTTGGGGGCCTTCCCAGGTCTGGCCGCTGCGGAGCGGCCATCGGGTGCTCGCCATTGGCGTCGTTTCCTGGCCCCGAAGCTGTGGGCGTTCCCAATTCCAACCCCCAGGTTCCGAAGGTGTAGCGGCGCAGTCGGGGTCTCGCCGTTCCAGCCGGTTGCGGGGCTGCTTCCAGCCCCATCCAGGCCCCGAAAGGGCGGCAGTACAGCTGAGTGCTCATTGTCCGACTATCCCCAGTACCTTTGTTTCGTTTGTCGTTTCCCAGAAACCATTCCGTGAGCATCTCCAGAGGGCTTCGCCAGGAACCCATCCACCCACGAGTCCGCTCCATGAGCCTTCCCATGACCGCTCCTCTAGATGTGCCCTGGGGGTCACCTCCAAAGCCAGACCTTCTCAGGAGTCCTTCACAGGATCTCATCCAGGGAGCATCCAAAGGATTGTGTTCCCCAGGAGTAGGGGGAAAAATGACAGAACCATAGAACTCGGACCGGCGCGGATTTTTGGATCCGCGCTGGACCCCTCCCCCTGGCGCGCGGAGCGTGCCAGGCGCGGCGCCGCGGCGCACGCCATCGGGATTCCAGCGCGGATCCGAGAACTCCGCGCGGAGCCTCTGAGTTTTTATGTTGAGTGCCATTGTTCGTTCCCCTATGTGTTCCCCCTTTGTTCAACGTTCACATACTAAGTTCCGTGAGCATCTCCAGAGGGCTTCGCCAGGAACCCATCCACCCACGAGTCCGCTCCATGAGCCTTCCCATGACCGCTCCTCTAGATGTGCCCTGGGGGTCACCTCCAAAGCCAGACCTTCTCAGGAGTCCTTCACAGGATCTCATCCAGGGAGCATCCAAAGGATTTGTTCCCCAGGAGTAGGGGAACGAAAAATGACAGAACCATAGAACTCGGAGGTCGGCGCGGATTTCTTGGATCCGCGCTGGACCCCCGCCCTGGCGCGCGGAGCGCGCCAGGCGCTCCAGCGCGGATCCGAGAACTCCGCGCGGACCTCTGAGTTTTTATGTTTATGCCATTGTTCGTTCCCCTATTGTTCCCCAGGAGTTCCCCAACGTGTACACATACTCTGAGTCCCCAGGGGATGCCCCAAGGAGTTCTCACGGATGCCCCACGGTGGCCCGTAGCGCGGGCCTCCTTGGGAACCTCACCCCCAAGGGGAACCTATTGTTATCAAACTATGTACATATATACATACATATATATATATGCATATATATAACCCTAGGGGAACCTATTGTTTTTAGGGTGCTATGCTGTGACGGCATGCCAGTTCCTTAAGTTCTTCTTGGGTGTGTAACACTCGGCTGCCACGCTGCGCGACCCTCAGCGAAGGATCGCCTCCCTGCCTCGCCACCTCATCGCCGATGTGCGTCCTCGCTACTGCTTTCTCGCCTCGGCAGTGTCTAGATTGCTACCCTTATGTGGATCGTCAGCTGCTGCGCCTACCCTTTCCAGCGTTTGTCCTCTTCTTTCCAACCCTGCGTCTCCACCAGCAGCAACACGCACGAGCCTCCTCCGCCTTCTCCTGCTTCTGCTACCCCTGCTGTTCCTGGCCCTGGCCCTCGCCTCATCCATCCGCTTTGTGAGAGTTCTCGCCAGATCACGATGCTCGCCTATGTCAATCCGCCTGGCCGCTTCGACGACACCGATGTGCGCCTTCTCTGCTTGCCTCTCGCTGCACGTGTCCACGCTTCCCAGTCGAGCACGGGGGGGATTCCGAAGTGGTGGTCAGGGGGTCTCCGCCGGGCACGATTGACCTCCTCCTCCTCCTCCTCCTCCTCCTCCTCCTCCTCCTCCTCCCCCTCCTACTCCTTCTCCTCCTCCTCCTCCTCCTCCTCCTCCTCTTCCTCCTCCCTCTCCTCCTCCTCCTGCACGGTCGGGCAGCGTTGACGGGAGATAGGAGAGAGAGCGAGAGAGAGAGAGCGAGAGAGAAAACGGCGAGAGAGGCAGCGACGGACAACGCCCCCCATGCCGCCGTGGTGACGTCTTTGGGGGGGCAGCCAACAAAACGGCCAGCCCCCCCCCTGGTTTATCTCTGTTGTTTTGGTGCGTCCCCCCTCTTTTAAAAAGGTATCTGGAAGACACCTCGGGTACTCTCGAGACAACCTCGCGGCTTCTGGGGTGCCTCTGCGGATCCGTGGCATGTCCCAACCAACAGTCTGAAAGGACGCCACCCGTGCCGCCGTGGTGGCGCCTTCTTTGGGGGGGGGCAGCAACCAAGGAAAATAAACGGCCGGACCCCTCCCTTGGCAGTGTTTTCTTGTTCTCCCCCCCGACAATGGCCCTCCTCCTCCTCCTCCTCCTCCTCCTCCTCCTCCTCCTCCTCCTCCTCCTCCTCCCTCTGGAAGAAGCCTCAGTGCCTCTCGGGACAGCCTCGCTGCCTCTGAGGGTGCCCCTGCGCAGCCTCGGCACGACCCAGAGCCCATCGGGCAAGCCCCCGAAGCCTTTGGGAGAGGCGCCAGAGCTGTTCGAGAAGGTCCCCCTCTTTGGGAGGTGCTTTGAACATCGCGTGGATGATTCAATTCGAACTTGCACGCCGGTCGTTGAGAGTAGGTATTTTTAGATTTCCAGATCCAAATCTTTTTTCGGTTCCTTCCTACTTCAAGGACCGAGTGGTTGTCCTTTTTTCTTCGTCTTCAGGGGGTGGGCGGAGACCAATATACTTCCAACGCCTTCCTACTTCATGGTTCTACCCACTCCTTCCGACCGGCGTGTGTGGTCAAGGCCTCGCAGCCATTGGTGGATACATCGGAGTCTGTTGGACAAAGCCTGTGGGGTAACCCTGGTAAGATGCCCTGAGCCTTTTGGGATGCCCCAGGGCGAATGGGATTTGTCCCATGGGCCTTGGCCGAGGCATTGCTTGGCATTGGTTGGTTATGCATTGCATTGCTTGGAATTCAATGGTCATGCTTGGCGTTTGCTGTTTTAGGTCGGTTGTGCTCGGTATTGTTGTCTCTGCTTGGCATTGATTGGTGGTGCTTGGCTTTGCTTGACATTGGTTTGTCGTGCTTGGCATTGCTTGGCATTGCGTGATCCTGCTTGGCATTGTTTAGCAGTTGGCAGTGGTTGGGCACGCTTTGCATTGAATGGTAATGCTTGGCACTGATTGGCATTGTTTGCTCGTGTGCGGCATTGAGCGATCGTGCTTATCATCGTCTGGCATTGGTTGGTCAGTCTTGGCATTGCTTGGTCGCCTTTGGAATTGAATGGTCGTGCTTGGCATTGCTTGGCGCTTGTCGGTCGTGCTTGGCACTGCCTGGCTGTGGACGGTCTTGCTTTCCACTGCCTGGCATTGGCTGGCCGGGCTTGGCATCGAATCGTCGTGCCTGGAATTGAATGGTCGTGCTTGGCATTGTTTTGAATTGAGTGGTCGTGCTTGGCACTGCTTGATCTCAGTTTCACGTGCTTGACTTTGACTTTGGTTGGTCGTGCTCGGCATTGTTTGGCACGGATCGTTTCTGCTCGGCCTTTCTTGGCAAAGGGCGGTCGTTCTTTGCATTGGTTGGTCGCGCTTGGCGTTGGGTGGTCGTGCTTGGCATTGAGTGGTCGTGCCTGGCATTGGCTGGTCATACTTGGCATTGCTTGGATGTGCCATGCAGTGCTGGGCCTTGGATGGCACTGACTGCTTGTGCTCGGCATTGGGATATAATTTGGTTGGGTCGAGTTTGTGTTGTGATTGGTTTGGGCGTGTGATTTACAACAAACTGGATGATTACTTTGGAAGGGCATTGAACAGGACTTGACAGCGGTGAGTAACCAGCAAGCAGAAACCACCTTGAATTGGCGGCGGCATGCGATCAATGGCCAGCAACAGCCTAGCAGTTAACAGCAGTAGTCGATCAGCGCGCAGGCAATGAGGTTTACACTTATTCCTCACTGGTTGTTCACTCGTGGCACCTATTGTGCCGACTTCAACTCATTGGTGGTCACTGGTGCGCGCGGCTTGTCCACTGATTGTTCGTTCAGTTTCCGCGGCTTGCTCCCTAATTCCCCACTGCTGATCACTAGTGGCCAGGGCTGTTCACTGTTCAGCATTTCGTATTGCCGACTGCTCACTGCTAGCCCGCTGATGATCCTTGCACGTTGGCGCTGCTGGAGCACGCGCAGTTCGTGGAGGGGGGCGGCCACGCTGATGAGTTTGAACGGGGCATGCCCTTCTGCGGTGGACTTGAATGCATTGCATGCGGGCTGGCCAACGAACGGCAGTATGCAGCAACTGCCAGCTCCGTGCACCGTTCGGCGGCAATGGCCAGGAGTGCATAGCAGTGCGCCTGTGGCACGCGGTCAGCCAGCACGCAATGACTAGGCAGTGAGCTGCAGTGAGCAGAACTGGGCCGCCAGGGGGCACCAGCCAGCAGCAATGATTCAGCATTGGCCCTGCAGCTGCATTGCAGTGATCAGGTACTGTACTGCACCTACCAGCAGTGGGCAGCACAGCGCCAGGGACCACTAGTGCACGCTAATGATTGCCAGCGGACTTCATTTGCCATCCTGCGATCACTTGTGATCAGGCTGCGTGCAACAACTGAACAACCAGTGGGCCGTCAACGCGCAAAACGATAACAATGAGCAGTACTGCGCAGCAGTGATCACCGTTGAGCAACGCTGACCCGCATTGCATGGCACGCGGTGGGCATGTAACGAACCGCAGAGGTCACAACAAGACGCATAACACATCAACACGCAAACACAGTGGAGTGGACAAACACATAACAAGCACTGCACAGAACTGAGCAGCACTGAACACCATTGGCCGCAAGCAAGATACTGAGGAGCGGGGGACAAGCATTGCGCAGCACTGGGTCGCCGTTGGCTCTTCCAATCACAAGTCAGCAACGCTGAGCTTCAGTGGTCAATGGCAAGTGAGCAGTGCGCAGTCGTGGTGGGCACTGGGCATCCGTATCAGCAGTGCTCAGTAGTTGGCCATTTAGCAGGGGGCGTCGGGACGAGCCTCGACGTGTTCCGCGCTCGGAGCTTGCCTGACGCGAACCTCGAAGAAAAGTACGAGACGACGACGATGGTTCTAAGCCTGCCTGGCACGAGCCCCGCAGGGTTCTGCGCGCAGGGGAGCTGGGAGTACAAGCCCCCACAGGTGCTGATCGCGACGGCGACGGCAACGACGACGATGACTCTAAGTTTGCCTGGCACGTGCCTTGAACGGCCCCGCGCGCAGAGAAGCTGAGAGCACAAGCCCCGCATGATCTTGATCGCGACGACGGCGGCGACCCGAAGCTTGCTTGTCACGTGCCCCGGGGGGCTCTGCGCACAAAGGCGTGAAATTTGGAGCCCCAGAGGGGAAGGAGGACGAGGAGGAGGAGGAGGAGGAAGAGTCGGGAATTGAAGCGGGGAACGCCACCCCCAGAACGCCATTTGCGACTCCCTCGCCCGCCCCCAGTCACCATGTCGTTCTGTCTATGCCTTGCACGGTATGTTCAGCTGAGCCTCTTCTTGCAGGGGACGAAGGGGGGTTGGGGGATTAGCTGTGGCATGCGGAGAGACAAGAATGACAGTGAGGAAACATGATCGCTATTGATGATGCGGAAGAGGATCGGGGATATCGGGGAGGGCCATGACGATGATGATGATGATGATGATGATGATGATGATGATGATGATGATGATGGCGACGCTGGCGACGACGTCTGTGATCATAAGAACGGGCTGCCGATCGATGAGGGGCAAGCAGCCGTCCTCCCCTCCATCCCCTCAGTTACACTCGTCTCCCCTTCGTGCTGCACGCCAGCTGTGTGATGCATCGCTCGCTTTGCCGCTGATGGGGAGCGCTCACGAAGCTACAGTTCTATGTGCGTACATAGTCCTACCGTTGCGCACGTGCTGAATCGAAGACGCCTACGGCGAATCACCGCCGCCCCCTGCCTTTTTGGAAGCGCCTATGTGGCCGAACGTTGAGGCCAGACTTGCCAAGCTATCGGACCATGTGTTCCCCGAATCGGTTTGGAAAGCCTTCGGGGAACACGTGGGCATCTTGAAGGTCATCTTGGCCGTCTGGAGGCCATTTTGACCCTTACGGGCCTTCTTGGAGGACGTCTTGGAAGGCTCTTGGGCCGTCTTGGAGGCCATCCTGAGCGTCGTGGAGGCCTCTTGGGCCGTCTTGGGAGCCTCTTGGGGCCGTATTGGGCCTCTTGGGCGATCTTTGGGGGCATTCGGGCCGTCGGAAGGCTGACAAAAAGCAGATGCCACGATCCTTGAATAAATCATCGGAAATTAATGATTTGGGCATTTTTCTGGCTTTCCTGGAGGCCCTCTTGGAGGCGTCTCGGTTTCTGAACGTTCCCGTCGTTTTTGTGTTGTCTTGAGACCGATCGTTTTGAAAGGCTTCGCTGAACATCGTTGCCCACAGCCGCGGTGGTTTGCCCAAGACCATCCTTTGATCTCCCTCCTTCAACCTCGGTGCCCCACCCTTTTTTTCCGTTATCCCTCTATCTCTCTGTCTCTGTCTCTTCTCTCTCTCTCTCTCTGTCTCTCTCTCTCTCTCTCTCTGTCTCTCTCTCTCTCTCTCTCGTCCTCCTCCTTCTCCCGTTCCTCCTCCTCCTGGGGGCTTAGAAAACTTGGCCAGGCGTTGGTTTTTCTGTTTTTTCTGTTTTTTCTCGTCTGGGTGCTCAGAAAACCTGGCCAGGCGTTTTTTTTTTTTTTGTTTTTTGTTTTTCTGGTTTTTCTGGTTTGGGAGCTCAGAAAACCTGGCCAGGCGTTGTTTTTTTTCTGGTTCTTGTGGTCTGGGAGCTCAGAAAACCTGGCCAGGCGTTGTTTTTTTGGTTTTTTCTTGTCTGGGGGCTCAGAAAACGTGGCCAGGCGTTGTTTTTGTTTGGTTTTTTTCTGGTCAGGGAGCCCACAAAACCTGGCCTGGAGGTTGGGGGCTTGCGAACTACTGCCGTCGGACCAGAAAAACCAGAAAAACCAACGCCTGGCCAGGTTTTCTGAGCCCTCAGACCAGAAAAACCAGAAAAACCAACGCCTGGCCAGGTTTTGTGGGCTCCCAGACAAGAAAAACCAGAAACAAAAACGACGCCTGGCCAGGTTCTGTGAGCTCCCAGACCAGAAAAAAAAACGCCTGGCCAGGTTAGCGGGGGCTTGCAGGCGAGGGCGGGGCGAGGACAATCTTGGCGAGGAAGGGGCGAGGAAGCGGCGAGGAGAGACAGACAACTCGAAGGTTCATCTCAGAACCCGCCAAAAGGTAGATCTTCGGGGGGTGCGACCATGTAGTTCACACCGTGCCCTGTTCCAGTCATCCCTCCTCCTCCTCCCTTCTTCCTCGTTATCTTCCTTCCCCTCCGTTGTCCCCCTTCCTCATTTGTCCCACTTGCGTCGTGTGCCCGTGGTGAACGTGAAGCACAGATGAAGCGCAGCTATTGCACGGAGTAGTTTAAGTTACCACCGCCCCCAAACTACAGTTGACGGGAGAGAAGGCGGGGCGTAACGCTCCAGATAACATAGGGGCGAAATGCTCCAGCCAGGTGCGGGGCGAAATGCTCCAGGGGGCGGAATGCTCCACATCACGTAAGGGCGAAACGCTCCAGCCAGATACGGGGCGAAATGCTCCAAGGGGCGCAATGCTCCAGATCACGTAGGGGCGAAATGCTCCAGATCACGTGGGGGCGAGATGCTCCAGCCAGATACGGGGCGAAATGCTCCAGGGGGGCGTAAAGCTCACACCAGTCGGAGGCGAAACAATCCCAGGCAAACAACAGACGAAGGGCAGCGGATGGGCTATGTATCAGCGTGGAAAGGTTCCATGTGGGAATGTGGCTCTGGCATTTCGCTGCGACAGATCGTTGGGCTGATCGTGTGCTTCTCCGAAGGTATCGCGGCTACTCCAGCGTCGCAGCTGTGCGGAGTGGGCGAGAAGTGTGTCTTCCGCTGGTACGGCAAGTTCAGGGCCTGCATCGTCGCGAAGATGGGGAAACTCCAGAAGTCGTTCGGCAAGCAGGGCGGGAAGGGCATCGTCGTGGAGGTCGACGAAGCGTCCGTGGCGAGTGGCAGCGCAGGCCCGCCCCCCAAGAAAGGAGCGCCCGCGTTCTCGTACACGCGCATCATAGCTTTGCTGGTTCGCGGGTCCCGTAACATCGTGATCGAGCAGCTGCCCATCAGGAAGCAGAGGTACAGGATCAAGGGGTCGCAGAAGACGATGAGCGGGGGGGCAATCAAGTTCGACGGCAAGAGGTTGGTGCCACCTGGCCCGCCAGCTCTGTCCATCCCAAAGGGGAAGAAGTTCTTGACTAAGCACTTCAAGTCTGGCATTCTTTCCAGCGGCTCCGCTGCTACGTACGATTCCCTTGTCAACAAGAGGAAGATCTTCGGCAATCGAGCGAAGCAGATCGCCGTCGTTCATGGGAAGGAAGAGTGGACGAAGATGTTCAATATCGACGGGAAGAAGGTATGGGGAGGGACGCAATACATGGACGGCTTCTTCGGCAACTACAAGCAATGGGCGAAACCTCGACACGTTCGTCGATCTGATGTGATGCAGTACGTTCGTGAGTACCAGTACTGGTTCGTGACCAAGAAGGAGGACCGCCTGGTGGCGTTCGGGAAGGCTTGCAAGGATTACGCCTGAGTCTGAGGCGTTTGGGGGTAGCTTCCAGAGCAGCGTTGCAGTGACGCTCTGGGAGTAGTTCGCTAGAACCACTGCGTGCTTTTTGATTAGTCTGGGTAAAGAGCGATCGCCCGCTCACGGCGGGGGCAGAACGTTAGCGAAACATTGAGCCAAAAAGGATGAGACTAACCAAATAAACAAACAAACACATATATATATATATATGTGGGAGGACGAAACTTGTCACATACGATCCTGCTCCTTCCCTCCCCCTCTCTCTCTCTGCGTTATCCCGTCCCTCCCCCCTTCCTCGCCCTTTTCTTCCTTGCATCTCTCATGATTCCCTTCCGTACTCCTTTCTTGATCTCCTCATCTCCCTCTCCATCTCTCCTTCCTTCAACCTCCCACCTGTCTGCTCTTCCCCCTTCCTCTCTCCCTTCCTAGCTACCCTCTTCCGCCCATCTCTCATGCTTCCCTTCCCTACTCCTTCACGTTCCTCCTCATATCCCTTCCCATCTCTCCTTTCTCTTCCCTCCCACCTCTCTCCTCTCCCCTCTCCTTCTCTTTCCTTCTCGCTCCCTATTCCTTGCCTCCGCCTCCTTCCTCGCGTCTCCGCTCCTTCCCCCCCGTGCCGGCCTTGTCTCACGATTTTGAGTGGCACTGCGAGTGGCTCACTTGCTTGGGTCAGGGGGGCACTCGCCCGCAAGCATCTGAGTTATCGTTATCCCTCGTGTTCTCCCTAATCTCATCTCTTCTTTCCTCTCCTCTTACTGTCCCCTCGCCCACTCACCAACACTCTTTCTGTTTCACCTACTCCCTCCTCTCAGCCGCATCTCCCGCCGCGCAGAGCCGGTCTCCTCCGCAGATCTGTCGTATCGTTCTTTGCTGCAGCTGGCCGGCAGCCAGCAACTACTGGCCAGAGGACGCACAAGAGGTAATTGAGCTCCCCCTGCCTACGCCCCTCGCGGCTGCTACCTTGAACATTGCACAGCGGACCAAGCAGGGGCGAAAACTTCCGGGTGACCGGCGGGACGGGCCGAAGCGCCAACAAAAAGCCACCCAATACCTTCCGTGCAACGATTTTTTTTTTTTTTTTTTTTTTTTTTATAAAAAAACATAATTGATGACATGATTTTTTAAATCGTATCTTCTAGTTCTGATGATGCAATGAAGGCCCTTGTGGGCCTTTTGATAAAACACTTTGCATTTTAACTGCATCATGAGGATGATAAATTTGCATGGGATGTCCATGGGTCTTTGCAACTTCGGTTCCTGAGCGCCCCAAGACTTGCATCATTACCGTACATCTTCATGATTCAATTTCAATGCACATAATGCGCTCCTTCCAAATCTTTGCATGCAAAGTTTTGGTGGCTTTTTGCCGCCATGGACTGGGGCATCTACAAGCCGGCGAAGCGCTTGAGGCCTGAGCCTGCTGCGGGGGGCTGCGAGCCCGAGGGAAGCGGACGACTGCTGCGCCGCAGGCACCTGGCGCCGACGCCCACGAGGACAACGCCAAGCGGCATCCCATGCACGCCGCCTAGCGGCATCCATGCGCCGCCGCCGCACCGCCGCAGCCCACCGACGCCAGCGCCGACGCCAGCCGCTGAAGCACTACGACGGGCGCTGCAACGCCAGAGCGCCGACCAGGGCACCGACCAGACCGCCGACAAGAGCGCCGACCAGGCCGCCGACCAGAACACTGGCGCCAACACCAAGCCCGGCGCCTACGCCTTGAGCTCGCGCGGACCGAGGCCCCCTCCTGGGCCGCCACCAACGCACCTGCGCACCGAACAGGGCGCCGACCAGAGCACCGACCAGGGCGCCGGCCAGAGCGCCGACCAGAGTTACGACAAGGGCGCCGACCAGGCTGCCGACCAGAGCGAAGACCGGAGCGACGACGAGAGCGCCGACCAGAGCGCCGACCAGAGCGACGACAAGGGCGCCGACCAGAACGCCGACCACAGCGACGACCAGGACGCCGACCAGAACACCGGCGCCAGCAACACGCCCGGCGCCTACGCCTTGAGCTCGCGCGGACCGAGGCCGCCTCCAGGGCCGCCACCGGCGCACCTGCGCACCGAACACGGCGCCGACCAGAGCGACGACAAGAGCGCCGACCAGAGCGACGACCAGGGCGCCGACCAGAGCGACGACCAAGGCGCCGACCAGACCGCCGACCAGAGCGACGACCAGGACGCCGACCAGACGACCGCCCTGAGCTCGCGCGGCCCGAGTCCGCCTCCTGGGCCGCCGCCGGCACACCTGCGCGCCGAACAAGGCGCCGACCAGAGCATCTTCGAGGGCGCCGGCCAGAGCGACGACAAGAGCGCCGACCAGAGCGACAACCAGGGCGCCGACCAGAGCGACGACCAGGGCGCCGACCAGACCGCCCTGAGCTCGCGCGGCTCGGGGCCGCCTGCAGAGCTTCTGCAGCAGGGAGACTGCTGAGCGGAGCCCTCCCCAAAAAATAGCCAGAACAGCCCGAGGACTCCCAAGATGGCCCTGAGACAGTGCGCAAGAAAGCAGGTGTTCTCTGAAATTTGGATGGCACGCTGCCCCCCTCAGGCGCCTCTCCTGCCAAGAGGCTTCCCGGGGCGCCCCAAGAGAACGCTAGTCTTCCCTTGAGCTCCTTTCGGAAAAGCCGCCTTCCCCGAGAAGCTTCAAGAGTTTCCAACAAACCCTGGGAGGTCCCGGCAGGTCCCGAGAGGTCCCAGGAAAACCGACGTGGCCCAGGAGGGCCCAGGATGGGGCAGACAACAAAACCCCTGACGGGGCATTTCCGCCGTGGCCCGACAGAGCGGGGAGGAGAAGAAGGAGAAGGATTAGTTTTTTTTTGATTTCGTGGATGATAAAATTACGAGTGATGACGACGAGAATGAGGAAGACAAAGAGGACAACGAAGAGGGGGAGGAGGAGGAGGAGAGGGAATGGAATACGACGAAATCGATAGCGCCCGCGCCGGTGAACCCCCCACGGTGGGTTCGGCGGAGGCGCGCGCCTGATCCCTCAGATGCGGGGATGGCGGAACCTCAACCACCCGGGCCCCCGTACTTGGTGGGCGGCGGATCTAGAACCTCGGAAGTCACCGGGACAAGACGGCCCAAGACATCCGCGGGGCGCCTTAAGAGAGCTCCAGGAGGCTTCCCAAGGGGAGTTCCAATGAGAAACTACTCCCCCCGCACCTCTGCCCGCTTCTGCCAGCGAAGGAGAGAGGCGCGGGGCGCACGAACCCAAAAATCATCATGTTGAGAGGGGAAGTAACGTCACAAGCTCGCAACGCCAAAGCTCCCAAGAGCTAACGGTTACGTAAACAATGCCCGACACCAGGGCTTCCAAGAGCGAGCGGCAACGTAAACATCTCTGATCACCAAGGCCTCGAACATAGCGCCGCATTCACGCACCTGAGGTCAATATCCCCCATAACTCATATGGCTTGCTGATCGTCAGCCACCCTTGAACGACGTTCCCTTGCTGCTTCAAGGCAGCGCCTAGACATCCCAATCCAGCTCTGATGTATCCCATTCTACTAGAGAGGAGCCGGCGGCAGCGAGCGAAGCCCTTGCGGATTTACAAATGTGGTATCTCGGGGCTCTCTTGGGGCGCCTCTTGGGGCTCTCCTGGGCCGTCTTGGCAGCCTCTTGGGGCCCTTTTGGCCCCATCTTGGCGCGAATCTATTGCATTTGTCGAGAGATTGTGGCCTCGGGAGGGGGGCTGATGCGCGCGTCGCAGTGCTGCGAGAGGAAGAGGAGATGTACCTTAGAAGACTTATAAAAACCATATCAAACCAGCACTTGACATTCTAGCACGCTTCAACGTGCCAGGGGGCACGGTGACTGATTATCGTTGTTATTATATTGTGCTCGAGAGTCATCTTTAGGCTCTGCGGGCTCGGCCATTCCTGGCGGCCGGGTTTCCCGCAAGAAATGTCCGCCTCGCTGCATTCGTCGCGCCCGCCGCCTGATGTCGTGCAAAGTGCCTCGAACTGCCCCCATTGGTATTTTCTTGTCTTCATGGCGATCCACGTGATGTTCTCCTCGTGCGTCGTCGGCCTCATCGCCGCGTTCCTGCTTGTGATGATTTGTTTTCCGCGTGGAAAACTCGTGCAATCAGCAAACATCGTGGGCAAGCAGAGGTTCCGACGCTTGAGAGGCAACGGCCGCTGCAGGCTTGGATGCGCGATTCGCGTGCGGAGGCAAGCCGGCGGCCTGCTCGAGGACGGCGATTTCACTGACATATAGATCTTTGTGAAGACGCCGCGGGGGCAAACGATCGCCCTGAGCTTGCGCGACTGCCACGTCGTCGATGACGTCAAACTCATGATACAAGATGCTGAAGGCGTGCCTGCTGATCAACAACGATTGATTTTCGGAGGGAAGCAGCTGGGGAGCGGGCCCTTGCTGTCGACATACAACATTCAGAAAGAATCCGTGGTGCAATTGGCTCTCCGCTTGCGGGGCGGCGTGTCTTCTAAACGCACAGTTAAGAACATTATAACACCTGGCGTTGTTGACATTATTTGTTGGTTTAAGCAAGATGGGCAAATCGAAAAGGACTCGTCGAGATCAGATTGCAAACGATGCCAGGGTTGCGGTGCACTCGTGCGCTTAAATCGCATAGTATTTCACAATATGGGCCGGAGTACAAAAAGAGCGAGATTATTTCTGGAAGAAGAACAAGATCTGATTACTGAAGCTGCAAGGAGTGGTATTTATTTACACGCCTCAGAATTCCATCCAGGAAGTTTAGTGTTTCAAGATATGGTGGCGCATTATGGATCAGAAGAACGCGTGCGCGCAGCTGTATCTACAGTGACAAACCGGGTACGGTTTTGCGGAGATATGTTTGAACTGAGAATGAACAGGGCGATCCGCATGCGAATGTCTTTGTCACGTGACACCGATAATTTTACTGTTCTTCTATGGTCTGAGTTGGAGCGCCAGCGTGGCGAAGCGCGACCAGTCGAGTCACGGCGCGCACGCTTGCAGATATTTTGTCTCCAAGTGTACGTTCTTCGGACAGCGATGAGCGAGAACGCTCGCCACATGATGGCCAATCACAAAACGCCATTCCTTCCAGACGCACTTTTTGAACTCGACATGAACAGCTTCCTCTGGTCGCTCTCCGCATACTTGACTCGTCTTCTAAAGGCCACCAATTACACACTGTATGTACCAGTCTTCAATCCATACGGAAGATGGGCCGAGCGGGGCAACGTTTGGAAAGTTGGAAGACGAGAGCCGGCCATCTTGGGCGAGCTTGTGCAGGTGGCGCTTCATTTCTTGGTATGGCCGGAGTCTGTGTTCGTATCGCCATGTTCGTTTGATGCGCACATGTGCAATCTTGTTTCAGGATTCCAGAGTTTTCGAGCCAAAGAAATATGGCTCGACGCTTTCGATCACATGACTAAGCATGCACGTTATTACAAGTTGTCAAGTGACGAAGCTGATCGCATTAAGGCCGAAGTTTTGCTCGTGGGAGATCTCGGACCAGGCCCAAGGCGATTGTTGCGCTGGTGCGCGGGCGCAGTGGCGACTAAAGACGTACTTCGTGTTGGTGAGACGGAGGCGTTTGCCGACTTGCTCAACTCTCTCACGGAACACATCAGCACTCGTTTCGGCATCAGTGGAGTTATTCAGGTATATTTTATTTTATGCGAAGTCTCAAAGGGTGTGAGCGACTTGTATACTGCATCTGGAAGACCATATGAATCTCGCGGCAGCTTGACGCAATCTGATCTGCTTAAAATTCTGATGAATGAAGAACGAGACTTAGGATTTGACAGAATTGTTAACAGCGATCAAATGATTTTCAGCAAGTTTGTTGGTATATCGGATTTTTGCTGGACAAATTACCCAGGAGTGTGGCATCGCGCATGGCAGACACACCGAGTTTCCTTGCGAGCGCTTCTTATGTGACCAGCACCGACGCCAACCCGACCAGAAAACATTGAAATGGAAGAGAAAGAGGAGGCCCACAAGGCGTCTCTTGAGGCGTGGTTTCCTTGTCTTCTTCTTCACTCGTTTCGCAATAACTATTGCTCCTCCCCGCCGTCCATCTTTTCTTTCCTTCTTCTCCTTTTTTTTCCCCCATCCCGTTGTTCTCCGTTGCCCCCCCGGGGTGGCACGGAGGAGAACAGGAAGGCGAAGGAGAGAGGGAGGAGGACGAGGAGGAGGAGGCGGAGAGCAGACGACGACGACGAGAATCGATATTCCCCGGCTGCAGAACGCACGAGCAATCGCAGCTGTCAGCTTGTACACAAGTCTATTAATCTGTCCGCGGTGGACCCCATGACGTGGCGTGCGCAAGCAATGTGGTATACGCAGGCGCTGTGGTGTACGCAGGAGCTGTTGTGGTTCGCACAGGTGCCGTGTCTACGGAAGCAGTGTGGTGTCGACAGTGCTGCGGCCCACAGTAGCGCTATGTGATTTTTTACTCGGATTAGTAGCCGCGATAGTAGTAGTAATAGTAGTAGTAGTAGTAGTAGTAGTAGTAGTAGTAGTAGTAGTAGTAGTAGTAGTAGTAGTAGTAGTAGTAGTAGTAGTAGTAGTAGTTGTCGTAGTCGTAGTAGTAGTAGTAGTAGTAGTAGTAAGTAGTCTAGTAGTAGTAGTAGTAGTAGTAGTAGTAGTAGTAGTAGTAGTAGTAGTAGTAGTAGTAGTAGTAGTAGTAGTAGTAGTAGTAGTAGTAGTAGTAGTAGTAGTAGTAGTAGTAGTAGTAGTAGTAGTAGTAGTAGTAGTAGTAGTAGTAGTAGTAGTAGTAGTAGTAGTAGTAGTAGTAGTAGTAGTAGTAGTAGTAGTAGTAGTAGTAGTAGTAGTAGTAGTAGTAGTAGTAGTAGTAGTAGTAGTAGTAGTAGTAGTAGTAGTAGTAGTAGTAGTAGTAGTAGTAGTAGTAGTAGTAGTACTAGTAGTAGTAGTAGTAGTAGTAGTAGTAGTAGTAGTAGTAGTAGTAGTAGTAGTAGTAGTAGTAGTAGTAGTAGTAGTAGTAGTAGTAGTAGTAGTAGTAGTAGTAGTAGTAGTACTCGTATATGCAGAGTAATATTGATATCAACACTACTACTATTACTAAGTACTACGACCACGAACCATTATTATAATTACGACCACCGATACAGCTACTGAGTATTCGTATCAAGTAGTACCACTAAGCGTTACTCGTACTACTGCTACTACTAAGTCGTACTACAACTAAATACGACTAGTACTAAGGAGCGGTATCCCGAAGTACTAATAAATATTATCGTTCTAATAGTAATGACAATTACCAATACTACTACTACTAGATAGTGGTAGTTGTTATTGAACTCAGTCAGACTAATAATATACAAACGATTATCAGGAAACATAGTTTTCGTACCGACACGCATATCGTTATTGTTACCACAGCACTACTTCTATCACCGAAACTGTTGAAAATCGTACTAACGCACTTATTAATCCAAAGACAAAGGGACGATTGTATTAAAGAACAAACCGAACTGCACCAGATAGCGCGCCGGTATCTGGTGCACCCGCTCTGCGTGAAATATAATTCACAACAGTGATATGTTCCTGCGAAAAACATGTAGTTTTTGAAGATCTGGCGAGCAAGTTGTAAACCGACTCTGTCATTTCAGAGACGAAGTGATGGTTCTCTTAGAAGGAAATAACACGTGAAGTCTCTGGCGTCCAAATCGTTCTAACTCAAATGTGTTGCGCGCTACTTGCCGCTCGCTGCCGAAACGCCAGATACACGCATATTGTTTTTGTCACCACTGTACTATTTCTATCACCGAAACTGTTGAAAATCGTACTAATGCACTTATTAATCTAAAGGCAAATGGACGATTGTATTAAAGAACGAACCGAACTGCACCAGATAGCGCGCCGGTATCTGGTGCACCCGCTCTGCGCGAAATATAATTCACAACAGTGATGTGTTCGTGCGAAAAGCATATTGTTTTTGAAGGTCTGGCGAGCAAGTTGTAAACCGACTCTGTCATTTCAGACAGGAAATGATGTTTCTCTTAAAAGGGAATAGCACATGAACTCGCTGGCGTCCAAATCTTTCTAGCTCAAGTGTATTGCGCGCTGCTTGCCGCTCGCTGCTGAAACGCCAGATACACGCATATTGTTATTGTTACCACAGTACTACTTCTATCACCGAAACAGTTGAAAAGTCGTACTAATGCATTTAATAATCCAAAGACAAAGGGACGATTGTATTAAAGAACGAACCGAACTGCACCAGATAGCGCGCCGGTATCTGGTGCACCCGCTCTGCGTGAAATATAATTCACAACAGTGTTATGTTCCTGCGAAAAGCATATTGTTTTTGAAGATCTGGCGAGCAAGTTGTAAACTGACTCAGTCATTTCATAGACGAAGAGATGTTTCTCTTAATGTATTGCATATATAGCTGCTGCAGAAAGGTTCAAGATTTGGCCGTTTCTCTCCAGAGTAAAATGAACACCCAAGGTAACGAGTACTATTGTTATTGATATATTTCGTATGTAGCTTATATGCGTTGATTAATTGATCAATGTTGCTTTGTTACGATGCCATTGCGCCCACAGCTGCAAAGACGTGGCTCGAGTCTCGGAATCTTTGATTTCATACGTTCATACGCAATGGCGTATGAATTTGCTTACCTGGAGGGAGGCGCCGTTATCGGCCCTCTTCCCACCTTGCCCCCCAGCGCCGCGTGGAGCAAGTTGGGGATGCGCCAGCAAGATCGCTTGAACAACGGCGAGGATTCGGGAACTTTGAAAGCCGCATACTATACATGTAACATTTGCTTTGGCCCCGTAAACAAAAATGACCGACCTCCACAACGCAAATGCGATTGCATTCGCGATGGGAGGGAAACTGGAACGACGTTTCGATCATTGTTTCAGCCTCCTTGCATCGGTCCCGAGGACGCGATCTGGATCTCATGCAACTTCCAGTGCGGCTGGAAGAAGTGGACCTTCCAACGCCGCGAAGGCAATCTGGAAATGCCATAATTCCACTTGCGCCGTTTTGTGCCATGCCCGACTTGAGAAAACAAGACGTTGCGTTCGCGCCTTTGTGGCCTGGCCAGAGAGGTGCTTTAGCGCTTCCAGAACTCAAGACGGGCTTGGCCAGAGTCGGCGCAAGGGTAGAGCAGGCGCTTCCATAGGGCAGATCATGTACTACAAGCCCGCAGACGTCGAGCTCGAGTGGATAGCGGTGCGTCTTCTTCATCCGATTCAGGCGGCAATCACCCTGGTCAACTTTCACCAGCCGTCGCACACTCTCGCCGTGCACGTGACAGTTAACACTCGCCCGAGTTGTCGCAGCTCCTCGGCACATGCGTCGCCGCATATTCGACTACGATGAAGACCATCAAAGCGTGCGTGCTGGACCAGCTCGCCTTACCAAATCATCACACCGTGGTGTTGAAGGTGGGCCAGCAGCAAGTGAGCGGCCGGCAGCGGGTGGCCCCCTGCTTCGGCCTCAGCCGGGAGCGCCCGCGCTGAGTCCCGAGGGCACGCCCGCTCGACCCCATATAGATTGGTTTATCATTTTGCCCGCCGACCAGATACCGGGCTGCCTTCCAGGCTAGATTTGCTTCCGACATTTTGCATTTCGCATCCCTAGTGCTAGCTCCAAGTGTTCCACGGCAAAAAATGTTATCTCATCCGTTTCAAAAACACTTACGCATTTACATTCCAATGTAAACATATACACAACGTGCGCCCCCCGCGCACCCACTCGCAACAAAGCTTGGGAAACATGTCAGAGATCGGCTGGCAGGGTGGCGTGGCGGGCCGCGGCCAATTCGCCCAAGCAGCGCCCACACAAGCCAGAATAACTCACCTCCCGCCCGCCCGCCCGCGATGGCGCTCGCTCTTGGCAGCGCCGAGGTGGCGGCCCTCTTCAATGCCGGCCTCGTCGCGCGCCAGACTCTCTTGTCCGCTGCGTGGAGGTTGGGGGAGATGGGGATGCTCGCCGAGGAAGATGACCTCAATTGGATGACCTCCGGCGTCGACGCGGGCTCCGCGGCGGCGGTTGCAGCGCCGGCCAAGGCGCCGCCGCCGGCCGCGCCGGCCAAGGCGTCGCCGCCGGCCGTGCCCCCGAGCCCGCCACCGGCCAAGGCAGCGCCGCGGCGGCCAGGGGACCCATGGATGGATCGAGGCGCTGCTGTGGAAGAACACCACCATCGTCACCATCTTCACAGCCACCCGACCACCGTCATCTCATCTGATGTCGAGTCGGTGCGGGGCTCCCGCTGGGCGCACTACGCGTGCCTCGACCACGCGCGCGCGCTCCCGGGCCTGATGTTCCGTCGCCACTGCTCAGGGTAGGGGCCGATGCGCCTTGCGGATCTCAAATGCTTCGTCGAGGTCTGCAAGACTGTTCGCCCTCCAACTCACGGCAGTGGCAGCTGGATATCTATCCCCCAGGTATTGGATGGCTGGGAAACGTACTACCTGGACAACACTTTTACCACGCTGTTCTTCTATCACAACCCGACCGGCGCGAGCCAGCGGCACCCGCCGAGCGACGACGTCAGTGCGACGGGTGGCACCTGAGCGCTTGAGCATCTGTTTGATTTGATTGCTGATAGTGGCGATGCTACTTTTCCTGTTTTACTAACATGCTTTGGGCCCGCCTCCCACCGCCTGGCCCCCGCGCCGCCGCTTCCGCTTGCGTATCTATCCGACTGTTTTCGGAGACTCTCAGAGTTTATTTGTTCGCTTTGTCTTATCTTAAGAAACGACGCCGCGCTTGCTCGTCTGATATGTTGCATCAGTAGAAGCATTAGCTCCTTCCCGCTATCTCTCTCGCCTTCTCTCTCTCTCTCTCTGTCTCTCTACCTTGCATGTGCTCATTGTTTCTTCATATCGCCCTCCCTCTCTCTCACTCTGCTAACTGAGCTGCCATGAGAAGATCGCTCATCTTGCTGTCTGTGCATCTTGGAACGGGCTAATGTTCACGAAGGGGCGTTGGCTTCTGACCGCGATCGATCAGGGCAACGTTGCGGTCGATTGCTTCGAGCAGCGGCCCCCTTATATATATATATATATATATATATATATATATAAAAAAGACAAGGAGTTCTTGCCCACTGCAGTTTTCGGAGGGCCATCAACCTGGCAGTGGGCAAGGGCGTTTCGGCCTGCGTGCGCCTCACTGAACGTTCTCCAGACCTGACATCTGGCCGCGGCGATGAGTTTGCGCGGCCACAGAAAGAAATGCCAACTCCAGAAATAAATCTAGAGGCCCAGCCCGCAATACCCAGGAACGCCAGCTTTTGCCCCCCACCGCCTACAGCTTTTTGATAGTCAGAAACCTGGTAGTGGGCAAGAGCCTTTTCCGATAGCCCATATTTTCATGAACTAGCGATAGCTTCTGCGTGCGATCGATCAGGGCGACGTTGCAGCCAATTCTCTCGAGTAGCTATCAGAGCGAAGCCCAGGAGCTTCTGCCCGCGATTGGTCAGAGCGACGTTGCAGCCGATAGCATTGAGCAGATGTCAGAACGAAGGCCCGAGGAACGCATTTCCGATCTCGACTCGTCCGTCTCTCTCTCTCTCTCTCTCTCTCTCTCTCTCTCTCTCTCTCTCTCTCTTTCTCTGTGCCAACCGAGCCCCCATGGGTGTCCGATCGCCCATCTCGATGTCGGCGTGTCTTGGAGGAATTATCTACGAAAGTGCGATAGCTTTTGCCTGCGATTGATCGCGGCGGCGTTCCAGCCGATTGCTTTGAACAGCTGTCAGAGCGAAGCCCAGGAGAGCCCATCCCCGATCTCGACTCTCTCTCTTTCTCTCTCACTCTTTCTCTTTGTCAACCCAGCTCCCAGGGAGCCGATCGCCCATCTTGAATTCTGCGTGTCTCGGAATGAAGTACATGTATATGAAAGAGCGATAGCTTCTGCCTGCGATTGATAGGAGCGACGTTGCATCCGATTGCTCGAGCAGCTTTCAAAGCGAAGCCCAGGAGAGCTCATCTCCAATCTCGGCTCGAGGGTCCTGCGCCCTCCTTCATATTTCCGACTCGAGGGCACGGCGCCCTCTTACAAACTGATTCGTTGCTGTTACTCAGCATCCCAATGGCGTCGTCGTTGCAGCTGGATCTCAGCAGCGAGGAGGTTTTGGCGCTCGTCGAGGCGGGCGTCATTTCAGGCCAAACAATCCACGACGCCTATCGTGCAGAAGCAGCATCGGCCGGATGGCCTCGCAGCGACTTGCCTGAGATTGACGTCTTGGAGTCTTTGGTGGCGAAGGGCGTCCTGACGAACGAGGGCGTCCTTGACTGGATGCAGTCGGGCGTGGTGACGGCGCAGACAGGACCCGCTGGCGGGCGTTCGTCGAAGCCTCGCCGCCGCCCGACTGATCCGAAGGACAAGGCGCCTTGGTACATGCGCGGCTTGAATGCCCCCATCTTCGTGAAGACAGACCTCCAGCCGGAGCTGGCGTTGCTTTCGCGCCAGGGCAACTGCGTCGCGCACGGCATCGGCCACGTGATCGGCAAGGCGCTGGATGCCGTAGCATATGCGAAGATCTTCCCTGCCGCCGCTTCGCGTGGCCGCAAATACGTGGACGTCGCCGCTGCGCTGGGCGTTGGTTTGCAGGAGGCGCCTGGGCGGGCTTGCGTCGTCGGCGCGTCGGAGAGCGGGCAGGCGCGCTCGATCGGTTCGCGGGGGACTGCCAGTCGCGGCCCCCCGTCGGGCCGCGCAAAATGATTCCCTCGAATCTGTCGGGCGCGCGGCCCGCTTCGCCGTTGCCGCCGCTGACGCCGAGCTCTCGCAAGGTGAGCGACCTTTCTCTCCCTGGCGCCTACCTATGTCATCAGTCTGGCAAGAGAGTGGGGCATTGCACGGGAGCTCGCGTACATGATCGCTACGTTACCATTTGGGAGAATAAGTACAAGTTTGAAACCACGTCCAAGGTATCGGCGCCGCCAAACATGTTGATTTTCAAAGTCATCATCGCTGACAAGGGAGCGCATGGCCATTGCCTGGGCCGTCGTCTGCGCGGTCTCAGGGCCGGCACGTCTCGCGGGGGGGCTCCGCACTTATCGCGGTATTCCAGAGATTTGGGGGCGGTCATAGGAGGACTCGGTGATCCCTGAAACACAGGCTGCAGAATTCGAGGTGCCAACGCAACCGGGCGACCCCCCGACGGTTGGCGCCGAGGACACGATGGCGGCCGAGATATCTGAGGGAGCTCCTCGAGACGCCGCCATGGTCGCGGCCTTGGCGAAGCGGATGCGCATCGCGGGGGCCGCCACTTCCCGGGATACGTTCAAGTCGATGTGGTCCGACGTGACGGAGAAGTCCTCGAAGCTCGCGAACTCGTCGGCCGCCGACCCGCCTCAGTTTCACGGAGTGGTGGCTGCTACGGAGAGGCTTGCCGATATCGTTAACAAAAACCACGAGGAGTGGAACGACGATGTCAAAAGGCTTGGGATGGCAGCTCTAATGCTGTATCGGAGCAGGCAATCTGATGTCAGCCTCCTTCAGCACGTTCAGCTTCTCTGGGTGCTTCTGGGCGGGCGCGAGCTGCGGGCGCACTCAGGTCGTGCTTATTTTTACGATCATTCCCTTGGACATTTCGAGGGCTTCGACGGTCTCATGCCGCCGACCGTGCTAGCTGCCGCTGGCAATGCCATGCTGACCTTGGAAGGGTTGTTCAGGTCCTTCAAGGCGCCTGTCGCGCGCAAGGACGCGGACGTACTGAATGCGATCGATTCGTCCATCAAGGAGGCCTTGGCGCAGAACAACAACGACTTGCCGAGTGCAATGTTGACTTTCCATGACAACTGCATGTTCAACAAAGGCAATAACTTGTTGAAAGCAGGGAGCGCCGCGCCTGGCAGGCAGAGCGAACCGGGCGGCGACGGCGAGGATGCAGAGGGCGCCCTTGCAGCCCCTGCACCGGACACGAGCAATTCGGCTGACAGCTGGTTCGTGCTAACGGCTCAGACCATATCCGAAGTGTCAACTAAGCTTCAGTATGAGTTGTTGGGAAACAAGTTGGTTCCTTATTTCATTGAGTGGTGTTCAACTGACATGCAGCGGGTTCCAGGATGCGCGTGCGCTGACTGCTGCGTGTTGTACGATCGCAGCGCTTTCGAGAACGTTTGCTTGTTGTCGTCTCGTTCACCAGAGAACAACATATATCTCGGCATCCCGACACCTCTGCTGGACCCGGTGCTTGACGCCGCCATGGAGCGCGTTCAGCGCGTGTATGAGCAAACTTTTTGGTCTATACCCGAATCGTTCGTCTTCGGCCAGGCAGCGCAGGCATTGGCCAAGCGCGGTCAAAACATCGATCAAATAACTGTGTATTGGGGGCCGGGCGGCGTCGGCCCATCCCTCTACACTTCGCACTTGCACGCGATGTACGGCGATAAGAACCACCAGTTCTTTGATCCGAATATATTTTTCCAGGACGAGGAGATGCGGAAGGTGGTGGAACTCTTGGTCGGCGGCTGCATCTTCACCGGCCAGGAGCGGCCCTCGGGGCAGAGGAGTAGCATGCGCCAGGACTTACTCAAGAAGTTCGCCGCGGCCGACACCATCGCGGGGAGACTGCTGTACTCCATCTTGACGAAGATGTACAGGATCATCGGGTGGAAGCGCATGGAGGTAAACCAGTTCTTCACTTTCGACAACGTCAACGAGCGCAACCTGGAGTCTATTGTGCGCCGCATCGCCATCATCAAGATACAGTCGCGGTTCGTTGACAAGCTCTACGTTGATAAGATTATTCTCACCGACCCGAGCAGATACGGCATCTTCGCGCGCGATCCCGACGCCAAGGACTTCATGATTAGCGGGGCCGCAGTTGCGGCAGGCCATAAGATTCAGTACGCGTTCGAGGTGGAGAACGGGCCCGAGGCGTGCAGAGACATTTTCGTGAACTACACGAAGTGCGGCGGTGACCATGGAGTAACCGAGAAATACGTCAGGATCGCTTGTCATATCAAGGCGGCCAACGCTGCGGAATCAGCGGCGAGCGCTGTCGCCGAGGGCTTGGTTGACCCGCCGTCCCAGGACGGCCATTTGCCGAGTTCGCCGATAGTCCTTCTCAGCAACCATTTGGTGAAGGAGCTGCAGCGGAAAGGATTGAACTACTTGACTTACAGCGTGTTCCGAGCGTCTGCAACACCTCCCGGCGCTAGGCTGAAGGGTAACAAAGAAGAACAATGGGAGTCGTTGAAAGGCAGCGACTTGTGGATCGACGTCGGTTCCAAGGGCAAGGCGGAAGATCGTCTGATTCCGCGCGTCAAGACTCAGAGAGACGCTTCGATTCTTTGTTCACGGCGGCCGCCATGCTGCGATGCGATATACCCGGAGCATTGCGACGCATCGGCGCTGGAGGCGGCGCGGTGTACATCCAGATTGGCCAACGAGAAGACTTTGGCAGGCGCGTTTAACGCGCTCGCATCGGCGATTGCTCCTGCGCGGGGGCGGCCAGCGAAGGGCGTCCTCGAGAGGATCGAGAGTTTGGATGAGAGGGCACAGAAGATTTTGTCAATGACAGAGACGTCGCAGCGGCTGCTTGACCGGAGTAAGAGGTCGGCCGACCTCGAGGTTAAGAGAAGGAAGTTGGCCTCGAAGCAGCCGAGCGTTGAGAAGTCTCCAACCCGCCATACTGGAAGGAAAGAAACAGTCCCGCTTGACAGCTTCAAGAGCTACAGGCGCGCAGTGGAGTGGCCGTCTCGGCAGTGCGTCAACGAGGAGCTCTCGGCGCAGGCCATGGACCAACGATTACAGCACGTGGTTTTTTCGAGCACTTTCGATTTGGATTTTGTGAACTGCGTTTTTTGTTTATTGGCGCAGATCATTGAAAAGTTGGGGATCATTGACGCTCAGCTGTTCGCGGACGAGATTGCTGCGCTACAGCGCGTTCGCGCAGATCGAGAGGGCGTCTGCAGGTTGGAGTTTGAAAGCCGTCCGCGCTTCCTCGCTCGTCTCGATGCGGTTTCCTTGGCCTGGTGCGGCTTGGGGAAATAGGCCCAGGGGCGTTTTAGTCCGCTGTGGGGGGGGGATGAGGCGGAGGGAGAGGGTCCATGGGGCAGGTGCTTTGGCGAGCGAAGAAGCTTGGGCGAGCTTTCCTCTGGCTCCTGATAGGGACGTCTTCAAAATGTTGCCGTTCAAGGGCAAGCAAGTCTTGATCAAGCTGATATGCGGCGGCGCTTTGCCGAAGGAACTGTCCGAGAACGAGTTCGCCAAGATGCTGGTGAGAACAGCGCGTTTCCTGCGTTGGCTAGCCGTGGGGCTGTGCCCGGAGCAGTTCAAGCTCCTAGAGTCCGCGCAGGACAAGTGGTCAGAGGCATCGCTGGCCAGCTACATGTGGCAAGGCGTTGAGGATTATTGTTTGGAGCAGTGGGTCGACTTTGTCATGGAAGAGAAAGTCAGTCACATAGCTTTGCATTTCGACGGCCTGCGCGTCGACAAGGGGCGCGTCCTTTTGAGCCAGGCGGGCGGCGATGCGCAGGCCACGGCAGTTTCGGACGCAGAGAAGGTCAAATCCTTTTGCAAGAAATCTGAGGAACGGATTCTTGCCACTACGGGTTATTCCGTAAGCATCAGGAACAAGGAGAGATATTATTTTATTGATCTTCTCCGTGCGAGCGCATTTGACGTTGAGCCTGCAGATGCGCCGAGCGACGTCGAGGCGCTGTTCTCTGCCGGCAATGGCATCTTCTGCGCAATGGCTGCGCTCGCGGGCAACTGGTCGGATATGTCGACGAAGGCCGCTGCCGCCGCAACGCCTCCCAGCGCAGCGGCGGCCTCGGCGGCCTCGTCGCCGCTGTTCTGGGCGCCGCCTCGGCGCTCGTATCGGACATGTGCGAGAGCGGCCAATGTGAAGCTGTTGCCCGTGGAAGTGCCACAGGAAAGTTGTCCTGGGCTATTCTTAGTGCACTGCGAGCCAGACGTTGCGCCGCTTTGCGTCGGCATCGACGTGAAACAGCGTGGGCCGCACAAGTGCTACGTCGGCAGGGAGCGCTGGAGTCTGCCGGCCGGGGCGCTGGACGAGGCGGTGTTGGCGGCTCTCGATCGGTGTATGGTAGTGGCATTTCAGATGAAGCCCGCCGATCGAGATGACGAAGATCATCGAGATAGTTCGTTGGATGGCGCATTGGATTTATTTGCGGGCGCCGGCATCGAGGACAATGTCGCCGCCGTCTGCCGCGCGCGCAGACGCCGCTCGCTCGCGGCGCGCGTCGCCGCAGGTAGCCCGAGCTCAGACCGCTCTCTGTCGCCGCCCTCGCCGGCCAGCCCAGCTGCGCAGCGGGGGGCGGCAGCTCTTCGCGAGCTCGGTTGTTCAATTCGCGGCATCGTGCCTTTTGACCGGCGACGTCTGACGTGGCACGGCAACTGCATCCCGTTCGGCATTGCGGCGCTCACTGGCGATTGGGATGGCGTCATCGCAGCTGCGACTGTGGATTCGGACGAGAACGCAGCAGCTATGGCGAGCGGCCTTCGTCGATATAGTGACTGCGCCAATCTCTTGGGCGTTTCATTGCGGCCAGTGCCGACGACGGCGGTGGAGACACTTGGCCGATTTCTTGTTCACGGAAAAGTTGCAGGCAGAGAACACTGCGCAGCTGTCGAAGTATTCGAGCACGGCGGCAGCATCTTACACTCAGAAGGGTTATCTTGGGACGTACCTCGAAGTTGTCTCGACGCTTGCTTGCGGATTATCCTCGACTTCGGCGTCGAGGCGGCGTTCGCTCTCGGCGGCGGGCATTCGTCGACCCTTGGCGATGACGTCGCTGCACGCGACGCCATGGACATGGTGGCCGGAGCCGGCGTCGAGGAGGAGGGGGCCGTTGACGTCGCGAACGCCGACGACGAGCACGCCGAGGAATTGGATGACGATTCATGCGTGCGCGTGCATGCGAATCTCTTGCAGCTTCTACGCGACGAGGTTACTGACTTCGAGATGATCGTGAAGTCGCTCTCTCGCACAGGCGCCACGAAGGACGGGAATGGGAGCGTTGCAAGGTGCTTGCTTTGCCCATTCAAAGAGTATTCTACTTCGTCTGTAAACGTTAAGAGGGATCTCCTTGCGCATATCGCGAATCACCACGGCTTGCACAGAAAATGCGAGAATGGTAGAGATCGTAAGATGGGATCAGGTCGGTACGTTGCTTCAGGCACTAAGCAGTGGAAAGTCATCCAGGCGTTGTTTGACGACGACATGTTATCAAAGCATCAACCGAAGAACTTGCTGCAGCGCAGTGCCGATCTCATGCGGCGGTCGGTGAGCCCGCCGTTGCGGTGTCTTGGTGTTGACAAGCAGATTCGGCTGCTCCTTGACCACGACGGGCCCCGGTTTGTCAACTTCGAGGTTCTCGCGAGAGATGGCGCGCTCCAAGCCAGGCTCGGGCTGGAAGAAAGAGCAGGATGCGGAAAGGGGGGGGGGGTGCGACATCTGTTTCGCGCAGCTGGTTTCGGCTCCGCCCGTTGAGCCCGTTCTTCGACGCGCGGGCGCCTCCCGGCGTTGCGGGGCGCCGGGGACAGTAGCTGCGTGAGCTGATTGCGCGCCCTGCCCTTTGCCATCCTACTCTTTCGTCGGCTTCGACAGGCGCGTGGGAAACACGTGCTGCACGAAGGAGTTCGCCGAGCTCGTCTTCCGCGAATCCATCTTGCACGAAGGTCGAGTGCGCCCGATGAGGGCGAGGATTGTGACGCGCTTTAAGGGAGCCGGCAGTTGCGTCACGCACCTTCTACCAGGGAAAGGTCGTTCAGTGGTTGTCGTTGATGGAGGACGTATTCTCGTCTCCGTTCGTAGAGGAATTGCGAACCAATCTCATGGGCGAGTTGGTTGATAATACAGAGTTTGAGCACGTTTCGTTGGATGCAACTCTGCGCGCTGCCATGCGCGTGAAAGGCCAGGCGAACTACAGGGAACCGGCAGAGATTCGAGCGGCGGCGCCGTTTCCAGACGGCGTTGCCAAGAGGCGCATTTTGACTGCCAAAGGTCGCACGTCAGCCGCCATTGGCATGTGGCCCGTGGCCAGCGAAGCGGCATCCGTCGTGGAGGCGGCTCTTCGAAATCACTTGCCCGAGCGAGCTCTCCAGCAGTGCGTCTCAGTGGCATCAGATGATCCGTCGGCGACATTGTTTGCAGAGCTCAAGCAAATCATGCCTCAGCTCAAGTTTTTGTGCCTAGATCCTGTTCATCTCGCAATTGTGTATAATCAGGCGCACTGGCGGAAACATTCTCCGGGCCAGGCAGTTTTGCGAATCATTTTGAATAAATTCACTAAAGTGAGCTCAGATTTAAATGGCGCCGCGTGGGGCGCCCCTTACACGGGCCACCAGGCTAGCTCGCTGTCTGCCGCCGAGGGCCGCGCGCAGTCGTTGATAGCCGGCGGCGGCATGCAGAAGCGCCGAGCGCACAAGATCATTGCAGATCTCGACGCCAATGAGCCATTCGTGAGAAAACTTGAGTTCATCGAGGCATTGGCGGCATTGACGTCCGTCTACTGGGAAGAAGTGGACAGGCGCACCCCCGCCGCGCCAAGCAAGAAGCTGGCTGATGTAATGGCGAATGCCGCGCAGCACAGTCGATGCGAGTATATTTTTAATAATTTGCGCATGCGGCACTCGCTGCCGGCTCGCGCGCTGCCATTGCTCGGTTCGGGCACGAGCCCAAACGAAGCGCTGCATAGCGAGATCAACAGGTGGTTTCAGAACCAGCCGGAGTTGTACGCGCAGACTTTAGAGCTCCAGCTCGGCGTCAACGTAATCGGCAAGCAAATGGTGCATAATTCAGCTATGTACGCCCCCACTCTGCGCCAGCTGTCTTCGCAAACTGTCGCAGCTAGCGTGGTCTGCTCGTTTGCGATATCCGCCGCCGAGTGGGCAAATCATTGCGCTTCTCAGGCGCAGGAGCAGAGGGCGCCGCGGAAAGCGCAGCTTCCGCTGGCGCTGCAGCGCAAAGCCGCTGAGCCCCTGGCGAACAAGTGGACGGTGGATCACAAGCGCATGGTTGTTGCGCGCAAGCCAGCAGGGCAACAACAATTCATTCGCACCCTGAAGCGGCCGGGCGCAGCCAAGCAGCGCAAGCGCACGCCCTTCTCTCTTGTTCGGAAGCGCAGCTAAGGCGGACGGCTTTTCCCTTGATGAATGCTAGTGGTTGCGTTTATGTTTGAAGCTCAACTACGTGCTGCCTTGTCACTGCCTCGACGCGCGGCATTTGCGCTGCCACGCGAAAAAGAGTACTAAACATCGGGAGTTGCGAAGGCTTCGCCTTTATTACCGGAGCCCCGATTAACATAATTTGAACTATTTAATTTCCCAGAGCAAAGTTTTTAATCATTTAAATCAGTACCGTTTCGACGAGAGACGAACCTCAGTTATTTTATTAATCATTTTTAAATTCTTTATTTGTAAGTTTTTTTAAATATTAAATAATCAAAACGTTTAATAAGTTAATCAATTTAATTAATAAAATCGTAACGTTTCGCTTCTATTACAGGAGCCCCGATTTAAATAATTTAAATATTTTAAACCACCCGGGCAATAAATTATTTAATTTATTGAAATCAGCGTCCTTTCGTCGAGAGACGAACTTCAATTATTTTATTTATTGAATTATTTAAACTATTTAAGTTTTTTTTTTTTTTTTTATAAAAAAAAAAAAAAATCAAATATTTCATAGTTTAAAAAGTTTAAATAATTTAAATAATTTAATCAATAAAATCGTAACGTTTCGCTTGTATTACATGAGCCCCGATTTAAATAATTTAAATATTTCAAACCACCCGGGCAATAAATTATTTAATATATTGAAATCAGCGTCCTTTCGAAGAAAGACGAGTTTCAGTTATTTTATTAATTAAATTATTTAAATTATTTGAATTATTGAAATTATTTAAATATTTAATTATTTTAAAAGTTTAAATAGCTTAAATAATTTAATTAGTAAAATCGTAACGTTTCGCTTCGAATACAGGAGCCCCGATTTAGATAATTTAAATATTTTGAACCACCCGGGCAATAACATATTTAATTTATTGAAATCAGCGTCCTTTCGAAGAAAGACGAGTTTTCAGCTAATTTATTAATTAGATTATTTAAATTATTCAAATTATTTAAATTATTGAATATTTAAATAATCTAAATAATTTTAAAAAAGTTTGAATAATTTAAATAATTTAATTAATGAAATCGTAACGTTTCGCTCCGATTGCAGGAGCCCCGATTTAAATAATTTAAATATTTCAAACCACCCGGGCAATAAATTATTTAATTTATTGAAATCAGCGCCCTTTCGAAGAAAGACGAGTTTTAGCTAACTTATTAATTAAATTGTTTAAATTGTTTAAATTATTTAAATTATTTAAATATTTAATATTTAATTTTAAATAGTTTAAATAATTTAATTAATAAAATACTATGGAATCGCTTTCATTTACAAAGGCCAGGTTTTTTTTTTTTTTTTTTTTTTTTTTTTTTTTAAAAAAAAAAAAAAAATCTGTAAGCAATATTATTTATCTTTTCAAAATGACGATCATATGTGACTAGTTTGTCCCTCAATCATATATATATATATACCGTTGAAAAGAAATGGGCGACACAATAAAGAAAACACACTTAACACGTGATGTAATGCAAAGATACGCGGCTGAATTAGAAAAGCCGTCGGGAACGTCCAGAAACCGAGACGGCCTCTTGGAGGCCTCTTGGGCCGTCTTGGGCCATCTTAGGGCCATCTTCGGCCGTCTTGGTGGGCTCCTGGCCCGTCCGACGCCGTCGGAGTTTGGGGGGCCTCTCTGGGCCGACTTGGGGCCCTCTTGGAATGCTCCAGGGCTGTCTTGGAGGCCTTTTTGGGCGTCTTGAAGGCATCCTGGGCCATCTTGGGGGTCTCTTGGGGCCGTCTTGGGGGCCTCTTGGGCCGTTCTGGGGCCATCTTGGAGGCCTCTTGGGCGCTCATTGGGCGATCTGTGGGGGCTCTTGTGCCGTCTCGGGTCGTCGGAAGGCCGAACATAAGCAGATGTCAAAATCATTGGAAAACCTGAGGGCAATACGTATGTGTTTGGCCTTTTCTGGCCTTCCTGGAGGCCCTCTTGGAGGTCTCTTGGAGGCCTCTTGGACCGTCTTGGGCCATCTTGGGCCGTCTTGGTGGGCTCCTGGCCCGTCCGACGCCGTCGGAAGCCGTTTGGGGGGCCTCTCTGGGCCGACTGGGGGTCCTCTTGGGGTGATCCAGGGCCGTCGTAGAGGCCACCCTGGGCGTCTTGGAGACCTCTTAGGTCGTCTTTGTGCCCTCTTGGGGCCGTCTTTGGGGCCTCCTGGGCAGTCCTGAGGCCATCTTGGAGGCCTCTTGGGCGCTGCGGGGGGCGATCTTGAGGGCGTCTTGGGCCGTCTTGGGTCTTCGGAAAGCCGAAAAGGAACAAGTACGACAAACCTGTTAAAACCTAGGGAAAGCAATGATTTGAGCCTCTTCGGGCCCTCCTGGAGGACCTCTCGGAGGCCTCTTTGGCCGTCTTGGAGGCCTCTTGGGCACCTCTTGGGCCGTCTTGGGCCGTCTTGGCGGATTCTTGGGCGGACTTGGAGGCACCTCCTCCCCTCTTGGGCCGTCTTGGAGGCCATCTTGGATCATCTTGGAGGTCATCTTGGGCCGACGTGAACATATTGGAGGCCATCTTGAGCCGTCTTGGAGGATTTGTTGTGGACGCTGAGGTTGTTTACGCGGCCTTCCGGGACCCCGGCGGAACGCGCCGAAGCCCCAGGGGAAGCCCCAGGGGGAACCAAAACCCAAACCGAGAGGATTCAGCACGCCAGGCACCCCTGCGATGAATCGACAGGGGGCGGCGGATCTACAACGCGAGTGCCGTCGCGCCAGGCAAGTGCAGGACACGCAGGCAATCTGTCATTCAACGTTTTACGCTTCCCTTGGCATGTAGCTGAGGGCGGTTGCCTTGCAGTCGCCATGCGTAACAATTTATGCTGGTTCTCATTGTTTGCTGTCGCTCTGCGCCCCTTTCCTCCAGTTCCTCGCCCTACCCATGCCCGACGAGGCCGGCAAAAAAGAGGGTGGACGTCTCCGTTGCTATGTGGACCGCTGACCAGCACGTGGGCAGAGATGGCCGACTGAAGGGTGAAGGCAAATGTGGAGATTGAGGAGGACCATGTGGAAGAGGAGAGGGAGAGGAATGGTGACGGTGAGGATGAAGGATCGGGGGAGGATTGGAAGGAGGAGGACGAGCATGCGAGTGTGAAGGAAGAGAAGGGGGATTATGGGTAGGAGGAGTCTGAAGACCGAGTGATGTCTGCCCCTCGCGAGCCGCCTCTCCCCATCTCTGATGGTGTCCCTCCCTCGCCCCTACCCGCCTGCCCTTTCGCCTCCCCCTCCTCCTCCTCATCCTCCTCCTCCTCCTCCTCCTCCTCCTCCTCCTCCTTCCCCTGAATGTCCAATCCTCCTCTCCTCTTCTCCCTCGCTGTCCATGCCCCGTCCTCTCTGCGCCTCTTCTCCTCTCGCGCTCTCGACCTGTGCCCTTCCTCGCCGCCCTCTCGTCATTCCTCTTCATTCCTGGCGACTGCTGGCCTGGAGCGCTGACAGGACACCCGCCGCGGCGATCTGGTCGGGTCCACAGCGAGCTCGCTGAAGGAGCCGCCTGGTCGCCCTTGCAGCGCCGTTGCGTTCACCAGCCGCCTGCTCTTGCCACTTACCCTCCTCTTGCTCTTGCCTGTGCGTATGGCCAGGACCCCGCTCGGGTGTTTGCCCCTGCTTCTGCTGCTGGCGCTACTGCTACTGCTGCTCGTCTTCCTCCTTATCATGTGATGGCTAACTTATGTGTGACGCCTGGGCCGGTGAATCATCCGTGTGCGCCCCGACGCACACCAGCCACCATCCCTGGAGATACACAGCAAGGGAACTGTACGTAGATTCGTTTCGGTCCAGATTGCCTGGGATGATCACTGCAAAGGTTCCCGCCAATGCACTGGCGTGTCGCTCTGAATGGATGCGCCCAGGGGACAAAGTAACATAGGCACTGGCATCGCATAGCCGCTGCCATTCGACTTGTATGCACGCGCGCATGATGCGCCCGAGTAACGCACCCGGCGCAGCAGAGAATACATCGTCAATTAGGGTTTTGTTCCCCACCTTTGAACGCGGGGCGGTGATAGGTGGTCGGTCCTTTCATCCT